TAACAACAAAATAAATAGTATTTTTTTACAAGTGGCAGTTCATTACAATTAGTTATAGTATGTACTCATGATGATTTTGGGATTTTTATTCAAAAACCAGTAAAATTAATTTTAGAAATGTAAATGGCATTCCATAATACCCTCCTCTCCTCTATATGTAAAAATAATGTAAAGTAAAAAAATAAAATTATTCGCCTTTCGAAAAAAAAACACTATAACCTACTGATATTATTGAATAATTATTTTTTTTATTAGAAATATGATTAAGTTGAGTAGTTTTTTTTTTATCAGAAACGAACAACATTATACGAAAAATAACAATAATTATCCTAAAATTTTATCGAATAATTAAATCAAATTTTAGTTTATAAAGTATTTATAACTTAAACTTATTTCCATAGCCTTGCCTATAAAAATGAGTTTTATTTTTTTTTTAATTACTAAATATTGAATAATCAAAACATAAAATGTCATTTTAGAAAACATCAATTTATAATTTTATTAAGATTATTTTTATTTTATTTTTTCTGTCTTGGCTTTATCACTGTTGATGAAGTTAATAGCATTAAACTTTTTAGTAGTTTAATATTATTATACACTTACATAAAATCGATCGTGTTTTCTTCTCTACACCAGGTTTTTGAAAATGTAATAGCGTATTATAAATCTAAAGATTAAGTAGTGCAATGAGTTACATTAAAATAAAGAAAAATATTCTAAAGATGCAGCATATAAACTTTTACGTAAATGTATTTTAATAATTGAGAATAAAAACTAATGACTTATGTGTATTACACAGAATACATTCTGATAATATCCGCTTACGAATTTGTTTGTTGTAGCGCCATCTGTCAGGAGAATTTTAAATCATTATTTTTATAAAATTATTTTTTAATTTCATTTGTTTGGAATATAGTTTAATGAAGATAATTAGCAAGTAAATAAACTATTAAAATAATTGTGCAATTAATTATATACTTATATTTCTGACTTAAAATAATATCCTGTATAGCCTAAATCATGGTTTATATTATACCTAATTGGGATTACATAATATAATATACATTATAGAGCTATATAATTTACTGTGCATCATTATATAAGATACAGTGATTTAAAGTATTGGTTAGTAATCAGCAATATATGCTGTTTGAATTTATTGTTAACATTTTTATTCAATACAAAAAATCAAGCGTTTGAAACTTGTCAGTTTAATAATTAATATTTACATTTTGATGATTTATTAAAACATTAAAATGACTATATTGCTTTAATTATTCGTACTTATCGGTATTTTTTTTATTTAAAAGTATCTTACGTTAAATTTTTCTTCTGTTCTGTAAACGAAAATATTGTCACTAAACAAGACATCTAATTTTAAATCTAACCAAAATATTTACATTTAATTATCAAGAGTTATTGCGAGAAACTTAATTCTAAAATACGTATAATATAATTATAAAATAAAAAGCTATATATGCACTATATCCAGTAATGGGATTAACAAATTTTATAACCGGTTCTCACTCACTTTATCCCTCACAATAAAAATAAGAATTAGAAATATTTTTTAAAATAATTTATTTAACGTATTGTACTTTAAGTATTTTCAAATTGAAGCTAATTATCACCACAATATTCAATTTTTCCATGTTTTACTCTTTCTGCAGTGGCGTGCCGTCATTGGAAGCGGTGGAAGCGTCACTTCCCTTGTATTTTCTAAAAAATAAATGCATATTGCGCGACTACCTTCATATTTTGACGTACGTACTTTGAATTAATTAAAATTAATATTTTATTATAACCGCATTATGTATCTTATTACAAATTTCTATACTACATATGAAAAAAACGATAAGATTGCTATTGTATATTCAAATATCAGTGGCGGAATGGAAGCGCTGTATTGTCGAATAAGAGACAGCGTTCATGGCAAAAATATCTGAATGGTGTAAAGCAGCCAGATTATATGCATTCGCGCATGCGCTTTACAGAGCACCAACCTCACCCGGTTTAGCTGGTGGAAGCTACACACGTATAACGCTTCCAATGATTCTATCCCAGACCGGTTCTGGACTGTTAGCCGCCTGCCTGCTAGATATTTGGCCGCCCTCGCCTGATTATGTGAATCGCTAGTAGATTTATAACTTAACCCAACCGATAGGAGTTTACTGGTATGTTTCTATGATAATTCTGTATAATTGACAGGAGTTTTAAAAAATCCATTAAAATATTTGATATTTTTATTCTGCTCTCCCACAGGGCCTAATTTAGATCTTCGCGGGCCCTAGGCAAAATAATATTTACGGGCCCCTTTACAAAGTTTGTATTACTACAAATATAAATAAAACTGTAATATTTAAAATTAAAGTATTTTTATTTTTACATTTGAATATCTTACATTGTATTTTTGGGGCTACAGTAAAATTATGCAACAATAAACACTATATTTTTCTCAACAAACACTGCTTTATTCTGAACTTCACCCAACAGATCTAATGCGCATATATAAACATTATCTAATTCTCAGTGATGTTATTAGATGTCGGAGCAGTAGGTAATTACAGTCGACTCCCTATAACACGGGTTCCTATAGTTCGGATTCCTATATCACCGCGAAAAAATTGCGACAGTATTCGTACAAACATGCTAAAAAAACTCCTATAACTCGGTAAAACGTCATCGCCGACTCGTGTCGCGACAGGATTGGTCGAATCTAGACCAATAGCGGATATTGTACAAACTGTTGAGTTTAAACGAGCAGCGGGCCTACTAAAAACCATTTATTATTTAATGTCCATAAAAATTATATTTATATTAATAATGTCTCCAAAGTTCAACGAATTTTTCGCAAAAAAATTAATTTATCAGGAAGCACGCGAGCGCCGTTCGATGACAAGCCCCACGACGAAAACAAGTTTAGGCCTTGGCGTAGTCGAACGGTGCACGCTCGGTAAGTAATCCTACAATTTTTTGTTTATAGCATAGTTTATATAGATTATTCCCAAAAAATTATAGGTATTTTGGAAATGTTGAGTCGAATTAGTCTAGAATCGATTAATTTTATGGAAGAAACCTTTCAAACAGCCGTAGTCCGTAAACTGCATACGTGCCGGGGTGTGATTGACTGGACTCGTAGAAAACGGATTCATAAAAGCCGGAACGTATCTACCGTGTTATAGGGGAGTCAACTGTATTAACCGTTGAATATGGCGCTAATAATATAGTAATTCGCAATACTAATACAGTAGAGCATCGATTATCTGACCCCGATTAACCTCCACCTCGGTTAACCGACCGCGTTCTAGTCGGCAAATTCAAATGTCCGCTAGTGATGTGGCGCTACAATATTTGGCTATGTCTTGGCTACTTTATTATTATTTTTGTTAAATTTTTGCGTGTTTTAGCTGGCTACACTGGCTCGACCATGAAAGGGAGGCCAGTATTTAAACGAGGCTTAATTTTTTAATTATGTGTGGTTGTGTTAAGATTAATCATATTCGCAGGGGCGCTGCTAGCTGTTTGAACGCCCGTGTGCAATACCGATTATGCCGCCCCCTGTTTAACTACGACTACCTACGCTGAGCTTGCCAGAAAGGCTCTTTGCCGCCCCCCTGGACGTGCCGCCCGCGTGCGGTGCACGCCTTGCACGCCCGCTTACGGCGGCCCTGCATATTCGTTTTATAAACCGTGCTTAAGAGTCATCTGTTCATTTTTTATGTCCGGTCATTGAAAGACCGCTATGGATCGAGTGTCAGTTGTATATACAAAAGGTAAATTGTTTACAAACTGAGTCTTTGTCTATTCTCTGATAAATATACTGTACAGTTTTATTTCGTCAATTGTTCACGATAGCAGATGTCTTGTGTGTAAGATCCAAGTCGGATGTGCGCAAGCTAATAAATGTTCTTGTTAACCGCTTCCTCTCCGATCAATTTTTAAGTACATTATAATTAAACATAAAAAAATACTTAAAACTGGAAAAAAACGAAAGAAATGCGTTATTTTTGAAGAAAAAGCTTCAAACTTTATTTTCCACTGTCTCAACTTTCTGCGAAATTTGGCACTGATGAGTCATTGTGTTTACAGCTGGATGACCTTGAGAACAGCTGGTGTTGGATTTCCCGGGACATTCTCATAAAACTTACAGGAAGCGAAGGGTTTATAGTAGGGTGAATACTAGCTGGCTGTATATTTTTAAATATTTTTCAATGTACAGTACAGTACTGTATTTATTTTGTGCAAAATAAAGAAATAATTTTTAACGATGCAATAGCGACAATTATTATTTTTAAAAAAATTTGATAGGCTTAACATGGAGGAAAATTCAACGCGAAGTAGCTTAATAGCGATATACTAATATACTAATTACATGGGATATAATAATATACTACACTAATAACGGATTTTTTCATACTTTTCGGTTATCCGACCTTTCAATTATCCGACCAACCCCAGTCCCCAATTGAGTCGGATAATCGATGCTCTACTGTAATTGCAAGAAATGCTTTGAAGATGATTAGGCTTAAATATTCATCTCCATCACAAGAACGTTGTTATGATGGAGGTTCGTTCCGGATATATGGAGCATATTTCTCACTACTCGGCCAGTAGTGGGCTTGTAATTTTAAAACAAAATAATGGATTCGTTAGAATAAAATCATCGTATAATATTAATATTATATAATTAAAATAGTTCAAAAATTATAACCAGAAATAAAGGTTTCTAAAAACTTGGAAACATAAATAATAAAAATTAAAAATAGAAATGATAAATTTTGTGCAGATTCTTTTAGTATTTAAGGGTAGAATTGTATATATTATATGTATTATAAAATGTTAATAATTAAATTATAGTTATCGTTTTCCATTTGTTTTATGTAAAACTATTACTAAAAACGTTGTAATTTCTGTTAGTAATTCAGAAATCTGAAATTAGAGTGCATATCCAAAAATAAATAAATATAAAAAATTAAAATATTTATTAATAAAATCGAAATTATAAAATGCATTATACAATAAAATTATAGATTATTCCAAAATTCTACTGTTTTCATGTATTTATCAACTAATTTAGATAAATACAATTTCAGAAAAGATGCGACATTCTTTGAACATTCTTTACTTTGAGGATGTATTTCTACAAGAATTTCGGGGAATGTACTTAGTGATTTTGTCCAGACTAAACAATCTATCTCAAAATATTCATCTTCCTTACAATTCTTCTTAATTATTTTCTCTGTTATTTCTTTTTCCACTTCTAGAATGTCCGTCTTCTCTGATATATGTTCTTTACTTTCTCGTTTTCTATTTATGTAAATGCAACTTCTAACTTTGCAACCTAAATGAAGCAATAACTGGTTGGAATAGCCATTTATTTCAAATTGTTGAAAATTTTCTGAAGAAATTTCATCTTTTAAAGTTAATTCATCGGATAATTGTTGAAATTTATTTTTTGCTTCAGTGATATAAGATTCTGATATATTGGAAGACGTAGTGAAGCACTTATTTTCAAATAAAATCTGATTAAAACAATTGTTAAATACATGACATTTTCCGCATAATGCTACATTGAAAATGTTGTGTATTAGGCTACAAATATTTTTGACCCACAATATTATTATTCTTGATTTCAGATGAAGTCTATAAGCACTTCTTATCAGATGTTCTAAAATTAAATAATTTAATTTAATACGAAAGGAAAGTATCTTTCCTACTTTTGTATTTTCTTGTAAGTCATAAGGCTGTAATAGTTTCTCCAAATAATTTTCGTTCTTACAAATACTCGTCGACTTTTGAAGTTTTTGCATAAATTGCTCGAACAATAAAATTTTAGCAGTTGCACCAACATTGTGATGAAGATCAAATGGATCCTGAATAGATATTGGCGTGATTTTGAATTTATTATCTGATTGGAAGAAAAAAGTTTCTTTGTCAATAGTCTCCCCGGTTCTAGGACAAATAATTTTAAATAAGAAATCAAAATTGGCATAAAATTGAAAAAATTCTTGTAATAGTTCTTCTAACGATTGAGTGTTTTTTGATGGAGAAATTTTTTTCAGATCTGTGCAAAATGAGCAGTCCCAACCATTTACAATATCTTTAGTATCAGATAATTTACTCAATTGTTGAACTGTTGGTATTACTTTTGGTTTTCTAGTTTGTAAAAAGTAAATAGTTAACATAAGAAAGGCATAACTGGTCAGTTTACGTTCATCACCGGAACCAATCAAAGAATGATACTTTCCCCAATATCTTAGTGTAGTAATCAAAGGCGTTACTCGAGAATCTATTTTTCTGTACATTTGTAATAGAGCAGTGTTTCTTAGACACAGTCCTTCTCCTAATGAAAAATCACAGTTGAAAATGTAATTTTCATAAATATATTGAAAACGTAAGAGTGGGCATCTTAGACTTGGAACAAAACATATATTTTGGCATTGAACCACAAATTGTTGAATTATTTTTTGAATTAGCTTAACTTTTGCCATATTATTCAATTGATGTATGCTTACTTTATGTTTTTCAATTTCTTCCAGTGAAGGAGCGTTAACAGTCCAATATGGTTCGTACCCGTCGTTGTTTAATCGCGATATATTTAATATCATATCGACGTCACATCCTTCGAAACCAAAACCATTAACACTGGAACCAAAGAGATGAACAGTGCAGTTGGGAAAGTATTTTACAATAACACGCTGTAGATGTTTACTTATAATATATCGTTGTCGTAATGATTTGTTACTGAGAGAAAGTAAATTTTGAATTGCTACCATTTGTTCCGGTACAGAGTGGTAAAGACTTAATTGTTTTATCAATCGTTCATGCATCTGTTCAGTTACGTCCGGTTTGTGATGCCAATATGGCTGACAAGATTTACTTCGTGGAGTTTTCCTGATTTGAACTACTAGTTGCCGATTATGGATGACATGTCGATTTGATAAAGCAGTTTCGGCTGAATTTTGATTGAAATAAGTTACAAAAGCATACTTGCCATTCAATTTAACAGTTACCTTTTTCACGGGGCCAAAATTTTGAAAATATTTTAGCAAATATTCTTCTTTGGTATCTTCCGGAAATCCTGTTACATACAAACATCGATTTCGAATCCGTTCAGCAGAGGAAAATGTTTTATCTTGTTCCATAATTTTTTATACATTAACTAAGCGATTGATTCAGTTAACGGATTATTTGTTCAGAAACGAACTCTTTTCAATATACTTTTATGATATGGAATCCAGTTCCCGATACTCCTCGATGTATATTTGATTGCCTATTAGAAAGTTGAACTATATTTACAAATCGAAATTTCATAGATAAAACAAAAACTTAGCAGTTAATAATCAAATATGAAATGACGCAATTTCGAATAATGTTATTCGAAATTGCTTCATTTCATACTTAGTAAAAACTATATCTTATAATATATAATCAAACAGTTAGGAGTTGAAAGCTGAAATTTGGTACAATGCTAGGGTATGACATGAGAATGCACACTGAGAAGGGATTTTTGGAAATTCCACCCAGAGGAGGAGAGAGTTAGTTTTACTCAGTATAAAGTGTAAATAATAAATAAGGAAACTAAATAGTGGCAAGTATAATATACATTTTGGCAATTAATAAATATTTTAATCATTTTTTCCCTTTCGGTAACCCAAAAACAATATATCCAAAACTAGCAGACCCCGCCACGCGTTGTTGTGGCTCAAAATGTATCTATTGTAAATGTAGTCTATAACACTTTCCCGGAGGAGGGGAATTTTTCGAAAAATTTCTTCTTAATGTACATTCTCTTGACGTATCCTATTAAAAGGCAATCAAAAACGCAAAAAAACGCATCTGAAATAGCATAAATAGAAGCAGAGTTCTTTACTGTAAGCCTTAATCCTGTCCATCTCTCCCCAGTGCGGGAAATTTCGACACGTATATTATATAAAAACATGTGCGCATTCAATGCAGCGTTGTGTCAAAATTTCAAAGGAATCGGTAGGAACAAACGAACATTACATTTTTATTTATATAGATAGATAAAAGATGATCCGCTTTAGTTCATTTTCACAGAAAAGCATAACGCCTCACAGAAAAGCAAACTTAGGGCGTCGTACTCGTAGCGCCATCTGTTGGACATAAAAGCGTTAACCTAGATGATGTGTTTTAATTTATATGAATGTTTAACGGAATAATATACAGCCTATGTTCACCCTGAAGTTCCATTCTAAATATTGGTGAAAGAATTTTTGAAATAGGATGAGTAGTTTCGGAGATTACCCGCTACATCCAAACTTACAAACATTACCTCTTTATAATATTAGTATAGATAAATGAATTCGAACGAATATTTGAGTTCATTCCAAATTCAAAAAATTCAAAATATTAAATTTGAAATATAATGTTCCACATAAGTTGTTTTTTAGATTTTAAAATTTAAAATTAATCATTTTATCCAAGTAAGGTTATCATCAAATAAGTTAATTCCCTCATTGTAATGAAAAATTTTCTGATTGCTTTTTTATATTTTATAGGTTATTTAATGTTTTTATTTTTTAGCTTACTTAAATAAAAATCTTTTTAAATACTAAAGATTTATTCAGTTAAAATTAAATAATGATTTTAATCATTTTTTTCTATTAGATATCCGATAAATAGAATAGTGAAAACGAAATTTCTCATAAATTTGACCCTAATCTTATAATATAATCGAGATGGTTTTTTTAAAAACTCTTTCCATCCTGTGGGCACTAAGAGGGCTTTTTTTAGCAATCCCATTATGGGTTCGGCTAGGCCCACAATGGGGCGGTCGGGTAATGAGAGAGTTGTAAGTTTAAATTTGGTACACAGGGTACTGTACATGAAAATACATACTAAGAAGGGATTTTTGGAAATTCCCCCACGGGAAAGGGAGTTACGGATTACCTTGAAGAACTCGGCTTCTACTGCACTATTTTAAATTTATTTATTTATTTATTTTGCGTTTTTGTGGGAAATCAAACATCTTTTTAGACCCATCTAAAAATTATTTGATTAGCATCGAAAGAAAAGAGACTTAATTCTTGCACCCGATGAAAACGGATAAGATCGGCTATATAACTATAAAGGCTATCTTACGTAAGAATTTATCACACCGAATGACCAATCTAACACATTTTAAAATTTTTTAAATTGTGTACAGTACGGGAGTACTGTACACAATAAATCAAATACCATAATATAATATAATAGAAGAGTTAGAAGTACGATATAATCTAATAATAATCTTTGCTGTTATTTTTTGCCCGAGCAACGCCTGGCTCATCTGCTAGTACTGTACAATTCTTCTATACTCTCTTTTACTCTTTATATAATATTCTAACTATATTATAAAACTTTCGAAAATTGAAAACATTGAATAAATAGGGGAAAGTAGAGTAACGTGAGATAGGCAGTTAAAATAGGAAAGCCTTACGGTATATATCGGTCAGTACGAGGCGTCATCTATTCGCAGCTACACTATTGCATACATGTATTTATATAAAGTCTATGCTTCCATCAAGGATTGATTTATATGAACGCTTTTGCGTAAACGATAAGCGATTTACGAATTTTTGTTTTCGTTAAAATACAGGGTGATTGAAAAGTCAAAAAAATTTTAAAAAATTAATAACTCGCAAACTATTTACAGTAAGATGATGCGGTTTTCACAGAAATGCTTAGAAAGAAGAGGAAGTTTTACTGTAAATAGTTTGCGAGTTATTAATTTTTTAAAATTTCTGTGACTTTTCAATCACCCTGTATTTTAACGAAAACAAAAATTCGTAAATCGCTTATCGTTTACGCAAAAGCGTTCATATAAATCAATCCTTGATGGAAGCATAGACTTTATATAAATACATGTATGCAATAGTGTAGCTGCGAATAGATGACGCCTCGTACTGACCGATATATACCGTAAGGCTTTCCTATTTTAACTGCCTATCTCACGTTACTCTACTTTCCCCTATTTATTCAATGTTTTCAATTTTCGAAAGTTTTATAATATAGTTAGAATATTATATAAAGAGTAAAAGAGAGTATAGAAGAATTGTACAGTACTAGCAGATGAGCCAGGCGTTGCTCGGGCAAAAATAACAGCAAAGATTATTATTAGATTATATCGTACTTCTAACTCTTCTATTATATTATATTATGGTATTTGATTTATTGTGTACAGTACTCCCATACTGTACACAATTTAAAAAATTTTAAAATGTGTTAGATTGGTCATTCGGTGTGATAAATTCTTACGTAAGATAGCCTTTATAGTTATATAGCCGATCTTATCCGTTTTCATCGGGTGCAAGAATTAAGTCTCTTTTCTTTCGATGCTAATCAAATAATTTTTAGATGGGTCTAAAAAGATGTTTGATTTCCCACAAAAACGCAAAATAAATAAATAAATAAATTTAAAATAGTGCAGTAGAAGCCGAGTTCTTCAAGGTAATCCGTAACTCCCTTTCCCGTGGGGGAATTTCCAAAAATCCCTTCTTAGTATGTATTTTCATGTACAGTACCCTGTGTACCAAATTTAAACTTACAACTCTCTCATTACCCGACCGCCCCATTGTGGGCCTAGCCGAACCCATNGTGCGTATTCGAATGCAGCGTTGTGTCAAAATTTCAAAGGAATCGGTAGGAACAAACGAACATTACATTTTTATTTATATAGATAGATAAAAGATGATCCGCTTTAGTTCATTTTCACAGAAAAGCATAACGCCTCACAGAAAAGCAAACTTAGGGCGTCGTACTCGTAGCGCCATCTGTTGGACATAAAAGCGTTAACCTAGATGATGTGTTTTAATTTATATGAATGTTTAACGGAATAATATACAGCCTATGTTCACCCTGAAGTTCCATTCTAAATATTGGTGAAAGAATTTTTGAAATAGGATGAGTAGTTTCGGAGATTACCCGCTACATCCAAACTTACAAACATTACCTCTTTATAATATTAGTATAGATAAATGAATTCGAACGAATATTTGAGTTCATTCCAAATTCAAAAAATTCAAAATATTAAATTTGAAATATAATGTTCCACATAAGTTGTTTTTTAGATTTTAAAATTTAAAATTAATCATTTTATCCAAGTAAGGTTATCATCAAATAAGTTAATTCCCTCATTGTAATGAAAAATTTTCTGATTGCTTTTTTATATTTTATAGGTTATTTAATGTTTTTATTTTTTAGCTTACTTAAATAAAAATCTTTTTAAATACTAAAGATTTATTCAGTTAAAATTAAATAATGATTTTAATCATTTTTTTCTATTAGATATCCGATAAATAGAATAGTGAAAACGAAATTTCTCATAAATTTGACCCTAATCTTATAATATAATCGAGATGGTTTTTTTAAAAACTCTTTCCATCCTGTGGGCACTAAGAGGGCTTTTTTTAGCAATCCCATTATGGGTTCGGCTAGGCCCACAATGGGGCGGTCGGGTAATGAGAGAGTTGTAAGTTTAAATTTGGTACACAGGGTACTGTACATGAAAATACATACTAAGAAGGGATTTTTGGAAATTCCCCCACGGGAAAGGGAGTTACGGATTACCTTGAAGAACTCGGCTTCTACTGCACTATTTTAAATTTATTTATTTATTTATTTTGCGTTTTTGTGGGAAATCAAACATCTTTTTAGACCCATCTAAAAATTATTTGATTAGCATCGAAAGAAAAGAGACTTAATTCTTGCACCCGATGAAAACGGATAAGATCGGCTATATAACTATAAAGGCTATCTTACGTAAGAATTTATCACACCGAATGACCAATCTAACACATTTTAAAATTTTTTAAATTGTGTACAGTACGGGAGTACTGTACACAATAAATCAAATACCATAATATAATATAATAGAAGAGTTAGAAGTACGATATAATCTAATAATAATCTTTGCTGTTATTTTTGCCCGAGCAACGCCTGGCTCATCTGCTAGTACTGTACAATTCTTCTATACTCTCTTTTACTCTTTATATAATATTCTAACTATATTATAAAACTTTCGAAAATTGAAAACATTGAATAAATAGGGGAAAGTAGAGTAACGTGAGATAGGCAGTTAAAATAGGAAAGCCTTACGGTATATATCGGTCAGTACGAGGCGTCATCTATTCGCAGCTACACTATTGCATACATGTATTTATATAAAGTCTATGCTTCCATCAAGGATTGATTTATATGAACGCTTTTGCGTAAACGATAAGCGATTTACGAATTTTTGTTTTCGTTAAAATACAGGGTGATTGAAAAGTCAAAAAAATTTTAAAAAATTAATAACTCGCAAACTATTTACAGTAAGATGATGCGGTTTTCACAGAAATGCTTAGAAAGAAGAGGGAGTTTTACTGTAAATAGTTTGCGAGTTATTAATTTTTTAAAATTTCTGTGACTTTTCAATCACCCTTATATGCTTTCCATGCCAGTCTTAAATTGCTGTACTTTTACTGTTTCAGATGTTAAATATAACAGAGGAAAAGTATGGCGATCGATAAAGAAAATAACCTCCCAAGACTTACATTTGTGGACTTGAAACTTTAAATTTTGATTGTTAAAGATGAAGAGGGTGGGGAGATAGAGAGGATCGTGTATCATATCTCGAGTGAGGACGGATTTAATTAACGAAGATTTTATTCATTATTAGCATTTATACTTTTTTTTTTATGAAATTCAATTAATAATATAAAAAGTTTTTTAAAATAAAATCTCATAACATGACTCCGCACACAATTTTTAACTATTGTCGGGAAAGTTACGCGACTTGTTGCTGTATTTTTTAAGATTTAAAATCGAATAATTGAATTTATAATATTGCAAATATTAATTTTTCAATATAACATCAAACGTTATATCGTTATGAATAATCAAAACTGCTTGATTCGTCACACGGGAAAAATCAATATTAATTAACGAGAGCGTAAATGAAAAATACAAAGAATAGTTTTGATTTAAAGTCCTAGCTTTTAGAAGGACATTTTAAACTAGAATAAAAATGATTAAAAATTATATTATAATATTATTTATTTTAATAAACTGTTATTATAATTAAACACATCTTCAAATCGATTTATTTAATACAATATAAAGTAATAAAAATTTTAAAAAATACCTTTAAAACAAATGTTTTATTGTTAAAAAGTAAGTTACTTTTAAATTTTTTCAACTGATTAAATTGAAAAACTTTTCTATTTTCTAATATAAAGAATAACATAAAGAAGATGGAATAAAAAAAATAAATTAAAACTGAAAACAATTATTTATATAATCAACATAAATCATCTATTTATTATTCTATTATTACCATAATCAGATAATAATCAGTAAACAATGCAATATTTTATAATATTGATATTCAAAAGCTATAAGACGTTTTAAAATATGACAATTTATTAAAATACTTACAAGAATAATTTATAAAATATATGGAAAGAGATTTGTTGATGCCAGTTGACACAAATCTGGAGTCAAATAATGGTTTTGCTGCGAGTTTTTAATTATAGTTATCAATTGTAGTAACCGAAAAAATTATCGTTTCAATAATCAAAATATTACTAACCGTATCAGTATGGGTTATTCATTTACATCTCTTTAGAGAGGGAGAAAATTAAGTAAATGTGTATCATAAACGGCATAGCAGAAGATTTTAAAAAAAGTTCAGAATTATTGTCTGTGACGAAACTAAGGGTGACCTTGTCTTGTAATATTGAAAAAGTGTCAGTATAACAATAGCCATGTGAAAATAACACAATAGACATATCTGGATAGAGTATTGACTAATTATCAAGCGTAATATAAACGATACTAAGTCATGAGCGCGTATAAAGTGTAGTGTTAAATAGAACTTTTACTATTTAAATGACCTTCAAATATGAAATAACTGGAACCTTTTAAGGCGATCAAAATTAATTAAATTTACTAATAATAAAATGAAATTGATAATTTTAGAGGAACAAGAATTTTTTACATAACAGATAAAAAAATATACAATTGATGGATCGATCGATCAATCAATCAATCAGTAAGTAAATCTTTAGGAATAAAATCTTTATAAAATATAATTTTATAATTATAATTATACGTTTATATAATTAAAAAAAAAACATTATAAAATGCAATATATTTATACAATATGTAATTGTTTACAATATTACATAAATAAATATTTGTTAAATAAAACATTCATCAACAATTTAAATGTACAATTAAGTCAAACATCTCTCTTCTTCTTCTTCTTCTTCTCTCTTTTTTCTCTTTTATACTCTCTTTTACTTTTTATATATTATTTTAACTATATTATAAAACTTTCGAAAGTCTAAAACATTGAATAAGTAGGAGAGAGTAGAGTAACGTGGGATAGGCAGTTGAAATAGGGAGGTCTATATCTCGGTCAGTACGAGGCGTCTTATCTATTCGCAGCTACACCAGTGCATACATGTAGACTACTTATATAGTCTGCGCTTCCATGAAGGATTGATTCGTATAAACGCTTTTATGTGAACGATAAGAGATTTACGATTTTTCTTGTTTTTGTAAAAAATTTTAAGTTCTTGAAACTAGCGGCTAAGAAAGAACTGCGTTGAGAATTATGGAAAAAATTCTTGAGGATTCTAGTATTGACGAAACTGCGAAAATGATTCTGCCGTTCAGTTCGTACCTTAAAGATGGAGTCTGCCATAAATTGAAATCTGCAGTGAGAATAAAATAGAATAGGAAAACTCTGGATTGTATTTTATCTTATCCTCCTAACGATGTTTTACTACACCATTTTACCCAGCTAGATACATCCTTAAATAATCAATTGATTAAGCCCTAAATGCTAGTCTCTACTCATTCATTCATTTTAATGACAGGATCTTTCACATATGCAATATGACAGAGGAAAAATATGAATATCGTAATAAAAAGACAAACAAGATTTTTGCATTTTTGGACTCAGGGACTTTGAAACGTCAAAAAATGGAAAAAGTCGTTTTTTTAATGTTTATATGGATGTTAGTGTATGTGTGAAGGGCATAATTTGTTCACCCACTTTGAAGCTTAATAACTCCTGTGTTTTTTGTCGAAAATTTCTGAAATTTTGCAGGGAGATTTGTGTATTAGAGGAATTGGAGCCATTAAATTTTGGTGGTTAAAGGTCAAGGGGATGGGGAGATAGAGGGAATCGTGCGTCATATTTCGAGTGAAGACGAATTTAATGAAGCATTTATATTCATTATTAGCATTGATAATTTTTTTAAATAAAACTTACCCCCTGCCCTCAAAATTTAGGTTTTTGCCATTTTATAATAATTAATAATATAAGATGTTTATTATAACACAATCTCATAGCAGATGGCGCCACAAGCAATGTTATTTATTGATACTATGAATAATAATGTTAATGTTTTTTTAAAATAAAATTTCATAACAGCCGGGAAAGTTACACAACTCGTTGCTAGACTTTAAGAGGTAGCATATAAAGTACTATACTTTAGCATTTCACAGTTTCTCGTGATCACAGCTCTTACATAAGAAATAAAACTCCTTAAGTATCCGGTTTTTCCCTACTCTACCCTAAATCAACTGATAGTTTAGTCTCAACAAGAGCCATTTTAATCTCTAAAATAGGCAGGTTTTTAAAACTGCTGTTTTAAATGCCAAAATCGCTGTTAACTTGATCACGGTAAAGTACTCTGAAGTATCCGGTTCAATTTATTTAGAAGCCTTATACAGATACAGATACACTGTAGAACGAAAACGTTAGTGATAAACGGTGAGATGAAGTGCCTAAGAAAGCAAAACATCCTGTCATGGCCTTTTTAACCTCGCTATTACGTCAAAGAAAATACTCCCAAGATTGTGAACTTGAAAAATCTATAATGAACGGAAGAAGTTCATAAGTTTTGCCTCTTAGAAAATATAAAGGTAAAAAAGTTAAAATTTAAGATAATAATAATGATTAGATTTAAAAAATAAGAACTTATTACATTGTTAATAATTTTATAATTCATTTAATTAACTATTTAAACGGAAAATACATAATTATACAAGTCATATTTTCAAAATTATGTGCTATCAGGAATCACGGTAGTGAGTCCCCTCCAAGTAAAAAAGTCACTTACAATGTATATACAGAAATCAGAGTTGCCGATTTTCGGGGGTCGATTTCTCGGCCTCCCAACACCTAAATAATTTCTGAATATCTCATTCGAAAAGCAATTGTTTTCTTAGGTAGTGGAAAATTTCAAGATTTTCTATGCAGCGGTTACCGAAATATAAGCAATTGAAAAGTGCAAAAGTCTGCAAAAAAGGCTGTATTTTCTTCACCTTCTTTTTCTTCATCCGGCACTGCAGACGCTGACAGAGAAAAACTACTGGGTCTAGAAAGCTCCAATTTTAAACTTAAGCCTTTCTCGTTATCAATGAGGTGCTAGAGAAACTTTCGGGTCGCTAGATCAAAGTTCACGGAGGTTTCCCCATAGAGGTAATTCAGTTTCACAACATTATTTTTTGTTTATAAGGATATAATTGCATGGAGAAAATAAATCTTATTCAAAGTGTTACTCAGAATTACAAAATCTCAAATTTATGCGAATTAAAAATTTTTATATTGATTTTTCTAACTAACGTATCGAAAACGTCAGTCGGCGGCGCGTTTAGTCGGCTGTCGCCGAGCGCCGACCTATCTTATGTCTTATGACAATTTAGACGACGGTCAAAATTTTTCTTAGCAGTTTTTATATGGTAAAGATAAGCTTGGCGCTTGGAAGCGGTACCCACAAGATTTTTACCTGTATTTACCTTACATTTCGTATTTAAGCGCTATGCTTATTCTCTACCAAAGAAATACTGCTAAGAAAAATTTAGACCGTCATCTAAATTGTCATAAATTTTTTCTTGGCGAAATTTTTTACATCTCAGATGTTTTTGTTTGAATAGTTAGCAACAAACGTCTCCAATATTCTTATCGAACAAAATAATGGGCGGGTTGCCTGGCAATAATAGGCAATAATACAGCTGGATAAGCAAATCAATGACACAATTCATTTCAAACGAAATAGACTACATCAGAGGTGGCGAACCTATGGCACGCGTGCCCAAAGTGGCACGTCGAAGAAATCATCCGGCACGTAACGTATTACACGATATCGGTTTATTATCTTTTTGAATCAGGTTCTATACATTTACTCTAGTTACAGCATATTATTTTATTTATTTAAATATAATTTTTAAAACTGTTTTCGCCCTGAGGGTACTAAAAGGGCTTTTTTTTATTTAGCAAACTCGAAATGGAACAGTCGGGTGGTGAAGAATGGATCACCATTTGAAAATTTTCTGGTGTTTTGATCTCGGGTCCACAAGAGTAATAAGCTACCACTTTGATCGCTCGGCTATTCGGCCAATTTTAAATATAGTTATTATAAGTCTAAGACTTCTGCACGCATAATCAGTTTTAAAGAAAAAGTATGCTTAATACGCTTTCTATGTGGCACGCAGTCTCAAAAAGGTTCGCCATCCCTGGACTACATCGTCGGTTTGACTATCCACGTATAAAAACACGTCGCGCGTAACCGTGGGTATAAAAAGCTGCTTTACCAGGCAACGCGCCCAATTTTTACTGAAAAGTAGATTATTATTAATGTCACTTTTAATAATTCGAAAGAACTTTTATCAAACCACCATTATCATACAGAAAAACAGATGATAAGATGCTTATCAAATTTCAAATAATTTTAATGACGTAACAATATGTGTAAATAAAAACGACAAAGATATTTAAACCGGTTAATATAACCCACCAGTGGCCGAGCGGTCTTCGTCCCCGCACTTGAGCAATCTAGACTCTGAATACTGGGAATTCGGTCGTGGGTTCGCGTCTCGCTCAGACGGGCTGGCAGCATGCAGTTTTCTGGGTTTTCTCCATCTCGATGACGCCTGATAGGGGTAAGTTTTTTTCCCGGAAGGCATTCTTCCCGCGCGCAATTAGGCAATTCTATAAGGCCGGCTGTTCGGTCTCATAGCGATCACCCACAAGTCTCTCGGAGTAATGTTATACAGCCATAAGACTCCATATGAACTATCATCTACTGAAAGAAAGTCTGTTAATAAATTCTGCCGGTTAATAAATAAAATTGTATTAACAAACTTGAAAGTTACAGTAAGGAAAAAACAATTATTTCGCAGGTCATTTTTTCAAAAGAAATGAATAAGAAAAAACGATTTTCTTTTTCATTTCATTTATTGATCGGTAGAATAAGAGGAAATTACACTTCAATAGTTTTTTCAAAAATTTAATATTTAGAATATTTATTAATGTATATTATTAAATATTTAATTGAATTAAGTGAAATTTTGTGTTAAAATGTGATTACGAATGGAAAAGTTTTCTGAATAATTTAAATTTTAAATATCGTTTTGGCGCTGTGGAGCTGTGAATAGTTGTTTTGTTTATAGAAAGAGGAAGCCGCCTAAATTTCGTAGGAAATTTAATTACTGCAGGTTTGTTGTGTTAAATATTTACATTTGATCATGTTTAAGGGATAAGCGCCATTATTAATGCTTTATCGTCTACACTTTTACACTTATGTAAAATAATACGACAAAATCAATGGATGAATTCAGATTTTTCATAGCGAAATCCGGGAAAATTAAGTGATTTAATTCCACAAAAATGCCACGTTATACGAGAGTCAACGTAAACTCACAGAATGTGGGTTTATATTGTAAAATTATTATTATTATTATTTCAAATATAAGTTTTATTTATTGTGCAAAAAAAAAGTTTTGGTTAGACTGAAGCAAAAGGTATCCAGCTAAAAAAGGTCTTAAACTTAATATTAACGAATAGACATAGATATATCTAGATGTAATTTGACACGCTGAATCGATTGGTATTAAAAAAATTTACTTACGATCAACCGTTTAAAAGTTACGAACGATTTTTTATTTCCGGCTATTTGCTTCGTTTAAGAACAACTTTATTAAGAAATACGCAGGCACTCATCGATATTAACAAAACGAATTACTTTAATTCATCATAATACATTCCATCTACGAGAGAAAGCGACATTAAAAATGCTAAAATGGTGTCGTTAGCCAGCGAACACGCGTAAACACGACAAGAGTGTAGGGACAACTGACGCAGGGAAATTTTCCCTCGCCGGTGGGGAACATGTCGAGCATGACGTCACTTCCACAATTCCCTACACACACGTGTGCAGTAACAGAAATAGTTGACATGATAATATAATTATTATATATTATTTAAAACTAGATATATCTATGTCTATTCGTTAATATTAAGTTTAAGACCTTTTTTAGCTGGATACCTTTTGCTTCAGTCTAACTAAAGTTTTATTTCATTCAAGAAAACATGGATTACAAAACAAAAACAAAATGAGAATTGTACTGGGTACTGTATATAATAATCTTTCATTGAACACATGAAATAAATTTTACTTCTTTTCTCTACTATTTTCCAAAGCTGCGTTTTGATGATATATGCCTATGGCCAGATGTCTTCGTTTGCTTCAAATCTTTCGGACGTTGCTGTAATTTTCAACTTCTTTTGGATGGTTTAGTTTCGAGAAGTTCGGTTATGGAGTTGGATGAGTGCTTGTTGCAATTATTTTTGAAGTTTGTTATATAGTGCTGAACAAATTTCCAATTGTCTTTGAAATTTTCTGGATCATTATCCACAAAATCAATTTTCTAACTTTTATGCCAAGTCCAATCCTTCTCTTAATATTTCTAAAGTGAATTTCTTAATGGATTCTCCAGAATCTTTGGCTAAATGTTTCCATCAATATTCTCTACATATTTTTGGACAATGTCACCTATTAATTGTATTAATTCTTCCTCATTTAAATCTTTCACTTCATTAATTAATTAATGAGTATGGAGGTTTTATTTAACTCTTTAAGCTCTGTAAACTCACTCCATGTCTGTTGCTGATGACTAAATTGTTCTTACCCCTCAGGCTACAAGGGGAACTTGTATGGCAAAACTATTCTAACAACTTTTCAATAGGCCGATTTCAGAAAACAAATTTGTTAAACAGAAATCATGTAATATTCAGAGATGTCCAAACATAAAAAAGTGCTAATAATTAAACTGGGAGTTTTCATCAGTCTCATTGATATTTTTCTTCATTGAATGTTGTGAGTGACATAGACCAATCATTGTTGATTTATATAGCTGTTTTTACAAAATACAATTAGATTTTGTGCAAAATTATTGAAAAATTATATAATTGTCATTCTTCTTACTAAATTTGGGCAATAAATTTATTTTATTTGATCATTATCTGTCAAAGAAATCTCATCAAATGCTTCCAAAATATAGAAACAAAGCCCAGTTCCATTTAAAGTGCTTTAAACAATATACAGGTAATCCCCATATAACACGGGAGTTACGTTCCCTAAAAATTGCTGTGTTACGCGAATCCGTGTTATATGAAACAAAGAACTAGTGCGAAAAGGGAGGTTAGGTTCCAAAAATTAAAAAACATGCCGTTAAATCCTTATTTAAATCGGATCTATTATTCATTTTTTTCATAGGTAAAATACTTATTTATTAATTAAGTAAATATTTTGCCAGAGGATTATTCATCCTATATGATGATCTCAGCATGAGCATCATCAACTGGTAACAGTTTTTGGGTGCGTTCGTTAACAGTAGTTGCTTTGCAATGGGAGTGCGCTGCTATTTGTAGGCATATTTAGGAACGACAGTGAAAGAAAGATGACGGTGCCCACACTATCGATAGTATTGTGATGGAGGAATCTATAATTCTAAAATGAGCTTTTAGAGGCAAAAGAAGGGTCCCAATTGTAAAATTTAACCATTAAATGGATCATTTGTTGAAAGAACATTCAAAGTAGCCACGAAAACAATTAGAATGCTCATGCGGAGGTATAAAAGAACACACCCTTAATAACATTTCATGTTGTACGAGGGTTTTACCCAATTCCCGAACCATGTTAGAGTGAACCCGTGCTATAAAAGCACTGTGTTATACGAGGGATATTTCCAATTCTCAAACCGTGCTAGAGTGAATAGAAGTGCTGTGTTATACGGGGGTTACCTGTATTGAGATTAGGAATATGAGGTTTTGGCCACATAAATGGGGATAAATGTCACTTAGGACACTCCTATCATAGCCACTTAAATACATTAGGGTTGTAAAAAAAAATCTAAAATTTAGGATGAAATATATATTTAAAAAATGTAAAAAAATATACACTATTGAAGACATATATAAAAAGAAACACTTTGTAGTCTTAAAAATCGTTTCACAATCACTGGAATGCAATCAACATTGGCAGAATAGACTTTGTTTTATAAGCTTTTATAAATCCACTTAAATTTATGCAAATTAATATAAAGAAATTTCTTTTTGTCCTTGGTATAATTAAATTAATTAATTAAAAATTTACTAATGTGAGGTAGATAATAAGGACTTACCACACCAGTGATAATAAGCAAACCCTCATTTATTAAATGAAGAAATCTATAGACTTAACAATGATATCTGGTTTAAAAAGGTGATGGAATGTAGGTTGGCCATTAAGATGTTAGTCACCACTTCTTCTCCAGATGTTGTCTGTACCACACCTCCCTCATAACTGCTCTGCATCTTGTAGTAATGCCACCTTCAAACTCCATCTTACTACTGTTATGTAACCCTTATGTCAAGCTACCGTGTAACATTATGAAGCCGCCTTAAGCCTGTCTTCTCTACATCCATTTATTGTTCAATGATCATACCTTTATATCAGTTCCTTTGTTTTGTATAATTTTAAGTATTATAACCTTTTTATATGTATACCAACTGAAGAGGGACTATTCCGATAGTCTGAAATGCATTTTGATTATTTCATGTTAATTGCTAATGTAATCAATTTTAATGTACACCCCTTCTCGCTTTTATTAAATGTACTCCATTGATACCTAGGTGTTTGTGCTTATTATCATTGGTGTGATAAGTTCATATTATCTACCTCACATTAGATTTTTAATTAATTAATTTAATTTATGCAAATTTTTTAAAAGTTCTAAGACATTATATATCTTCAAAATTTTCATTGTAATGAAAAACAATTCTAAAAATGAAATTAAGATGTCCATTGATATGGAGTTTTAAAACTTATGCTGTTTTTTAGGGAAATTTCAGGGATGGCTATGTATGCAAGGTTTTACTGTATTTCAAAAATTTTTCAGGTTACTCTAGTTTATCATCAATACTCCAAGCAGAATTAGATATGACTCTAAACATTGTAACATTGTATTATAACATTGTAACTATTAAATGTAGTTAATTATTATTCATGTTCCTTCATGTAGTTTTTATTATGCTCTATAATGATGTATATTTTATGTGGATTGTTACACATATTGATAATTTCTTTAATCCTTTATCAAATTGTAATGTTTTTTAGTATAACTGGGAAACTTCTCTTTTAGTTAATATGATTAGTTTTGTAAATTTATAATGTGAGTTTTCTTAGCATAATATTAAAATTTTTTGACATTACTATTGAATACATTATTACTTTTTAATGAAATTATTGTATCTTCAAATTTATTGAAGATGGAATAGTAGTATTATATTGTCAACTATTAGAAATAAATAATTATTTTTTTATATAATCAATTTTGCAAACTTACTAATCTTAAGATCATTATAAAAATGTTGGAAGAGATGAATTTTAATTATGGATATTGTTAGCAATACAACAAATAAATCAATAATGATAATGTTATTCATTCAAATGAAGAATATTCAAGAAAATAAATATAAAAGTTTATATTTTGGTAATTTATAATTGAATGAAAGGGAAAGAAAAAATATCAAAAGTGTAAATTTTCAAACATTATTTATATTACTCTGCAATTTATTTTAACTTTAATATATTTCTCATCTAATTATCTTTACAGATGAGTGCATAATTTGTTATAAAAAAAGAGATTAAAGAAATATTTCACATTATCAAAATGAGAGGTTAAGGAAAATATAATAGAAAGGATAAATAAATTTAGAATAATTCAGCTGTAGAAAAGATATAATAATCTATAAGTTAATAATAAGGACAGTACAGGTAACCCCCGTATAACACGGTAGTTACGTTCCAAAAAATTGCCGTGTTATGCGAATCCGTGTTATACGAAACAAAGAACTAATACGAAAAGGAGGGTTAGGTTCCAAAAATTAAAAAGCATGCTAGTATATTTTCATAATTAAGATAAATATCTTCATTAAAATTTTCTTAAGCGATACATATTAATATAAATTAAACAATGTTTTCTTCGTCATCACTAAAAACACTATTAATTAACCGAGTGCGTTTTCTTTTTGGCAAGTTATCCTTATCCTCTGAGCATTTTTCTGCATTATCTTCAGATCCATGCTTTACCTTTTGCAAAAAGTATGTAATTTTAGATTGCTTGCTTCTAGTTAAAAGGTCTTTATAAATTTCCTTATATGGTGCTAAGCACTTATGAAGAATAAAGCAAGTATGGAATAAGGAGAAAACATTCGGCAACATCAGAAGCAGAAGCGTCGTGATCTGGCAACATTGAAACAAGTTTCGAGAAGGACCACGTGTATCAACAGAAGGCGAGAAGAGAAAATTTACATACTTAAGTACTAATAGTTCATGAAAATAATAATTTTTGTGAACTATTATTACTTAAGTATGTAAAAATTTATTACATTTCCTGTTGTACGAGGGTTTTACTCATTTCTCGAACCGTGTCAGAGTGAATCCGTGCTATAAAAGTACCGTGTTATATGGGGGATGGTACCAATTCTCAAACCGTGTTAGAGCGAATCAGTGCTATAGAAGTGCCGTGTTATACGGGGGTTACCTGTAATTAGATTTATTTCAGTACATGTTTTTAATCACTAAAAATTTTGTTAGTTTGAAACTATTAAACTAAAAAGTATTTTAAAAAATAACAGTTAAACAAACTATTTGAGTTGTCGTATTTAGATTTTTTTAAGTATGAAAGTTAAACATAACTTTATAGTAAATAATTTTTAAAATTTCCTATATTCTAAAAAGTTAAATTTTCATTACCTTTTTTTAAAATTCATTGTTATGTCTATGATGCAAATTATTATAAATGAAATTTTAATTCCTAAAATGTATTATTGATTCATTTGGAATTAGTGCTGAATTAAGATTTGTCTTCAAGATATTCATTTATATTGAAAGATGTGAATTTTTACAAATATGCAGTACATAATTTTAGACTTGTAACTTTTCATTAGTATGTACAGTAGAACCCTGATTATCCAAGGTAATGTGGACTGATGCTGCTTTGGATAACTGAAACCTCAGATTAAACAGACAGCCATGGCCATTTTGGATTAAAAATTGCTAATAAAGATTTGTATGGTATTACTTTTAAGCCTCTTTTTATGCCTTACTGAATTTAATCATATATAAGAATAACATTTTTTTACATAATTTATTATACAGCTAACATTTATTACACTTTTAAGAATAAAGATATGTATTTGATGTGGAATGTTAGCAAAGCCTCTACTATATGGCTTACAGAATTGTGTTTGTTCTCAAAATTTGTTCAATTCATTTTGAATAAACTTTGCCATTTCCCATTAATTGCAATGAGGAATCCACAAATGTAGTGAGGGTCCATTTGAATGTAAAAATTAATGAGTACATGACTGTTATACAGAAATATTAGAGATAATGTGCTAATGATGCAACGAATATTCGGTTACTATTCGGCCAAATACCAAATACCTAAAAAAAGGAGTAAGAAATAACAAAAACACAATAAATTAATCATTTGGTAACTTTTATTAATGCTGAATATACATTTCAAGTTCAAGAAAGCACAATTTTTTTAAGAGATCAAAAAAAGATAAGTCAAATGAAAACTACCTGCTTATTATGTAGTTTAGTCATCTGTATACTCTTATATAAAAGAACAAGTCCTGATAGGATAATTAACACAAAGCCAAAACTATTGATGCTAAAAACTGAAAAATTTGAGGGTGTGTTCCTTTTGTAAAGTTTAGATGTGCTAAGAAAAGATTTTATGACATTCAACCCTAAAGAGATAAAAAGGTTAAAATTTGTATGAAAATTTTTACTGCATTGGCACATTAGATTGAAACTTAGTCATAAAATTTGAAAATAATAATAACTAATAATCTGTAAAGTGTTTTTATGAAATAATTCCTTATTATAAACTTGAAAATTAAATTAACTTTTTTGTTTTATTGAACAAAATTATTTATCATAACTGAAGTTCCAGACAGCTTGGTAGCCTGAACGGCCCCAGGCTTTTGCCTGTGCACGCTAAGTGACTTTCATTACAAGCATTTAGCTTTCCGAAATCTATGAGAACTTGTTCAATTATGTTATCAACTCAATTTCATGTTTAGCCTGTTTTCACATTTTCACTTTGCAGTTCTTTTCTGTTCTTTTTCCATTATTTACACGTGTAGGTCATTTCATTGTTATCCACATTTGATATCATCACTTATCACATACTGCATGACGCTCATGTTCGTCCGCTACAACTGTCAAGAATTAATGTGATTGGCGAAGCGTAGTGACAGCGGGCCAATAGAGAGCAGGGTGCATGATCCTTGCCATAATGCAGTTTGCGCGCCAATTTTCGTATGTGTGTTAGTCAAGCCAAATAGTTTGGCCAAATATTCGGCTATTCAGCCTGAGGCCGAATATGCTATTCGTTTCATCATTACAATGTGCTCCTTGATTACTTATAATGGTCAAAAATAAAAAACAGTACTGCATGTGTCTAATGTAAAATAGGTATGAAAAACAAACAAAACAGAAGAACAAAGCAATTGAAGGCAATTACTTGGTTCTTGGATCTCTTTGTACCTGGCCAATGCAAGGACCATGTCTTCCCTCCCTGGCTGGCAGTATAAGGATTGCCTTTCCCATGAATGGTAAGTACAAGGATAATCTCTTTTGTTGCAGTCCATGTCTGTCAGGTACAAGGATCATTTCTTCTATCCCTATCAAGTGCAAGTATCGCTTCTTTCTTTCCAACTCTGCCTCAGTTCTATTGCAATATGACAAAGTTGTTTGACATCCTAGTATTGTAATTACATTTTTATATGAATGGTTTGTCTCACATTAAATGTTTTATTTTGTAATACAAGTTATTACAATCGACCCCCCTATGAGACAGTAGATACGTTCCATTCTTTAGGAATCCGATTTCTTACGAGTCCTTCCAATCACAGCTCGACACGTGTCAAGTTTATGGACTACGGCTGTTTGAAAGGTTTTCTTCCATAAAATTAATCGATTCTAGACTAATCCGACTCAACATTTCCAAAATACGTATATTTTTTTTTGGAAATAATTCGTATAAACTACGCTATAGCGCTATAGCACTCTCTGTAGTGTGGCGCTTGATGGCGCGGAAAGTAGTTTGGCTGCCCGATGACGTTTTATGTAATTATAGGAGTTTTTTACCGTTTTTTTATGGATACCGTCGCAATTTTTTTGCTGTCTTATAGGAATTGTAATTATAGAAACCCATTTTATAGGGGGTCTACTATATTTAAACCTTTTTTAAAAAGTTCTTTAGAGTTTTTTGTTTCATAGTGGGTTTTCTCTTTTTTGCTAGTGTTTTGCAGTCACTTTAGCATCACCCACTTGCTTAGTACAGCTTGACTATATTGTGTGAATGGCTTGTGCTGAGTTGAGATTAAAATATTTTGTTGGAGGATAAAAATAACTATACTTCATATACAGATACATATAACATAGTTTAATATTTATATGTGTATTGAATTACATGTATAATATCTGCACAAGCACAAGAACAAAAAGGGAAGGGTTCCACGATGACATTCACTTTTATACCTCTTTCACCTGTGTTGCCATCTGGGGTTACATACAATTTGTAATATCACAAACTTTACAAATTACTACATAACATATTTATGTGCTTTATGCATTCATGGCAAAGCTTTTATAAATTATAAGAAAAATAGTGTATTCACTTATAGGCTTGTCTCAGATAATGCAGAACCTCAGATTATCAAAGTTCTACTGTATTATTTAGATACTAAATTCTATACATGAAAATAATAAATTTTAGAAAGTAGATAATGATATTAGCTTATTTTCTGGAATTTACTGTTTTCATTTATCATAAGTTTATTTGTTGTTTTAAGATTATAGATAATAAATATTACATAGACATCATTATTATTTTAATTTAGTGAATGCTTTTCAGGATTCAGAGATTTTTAACTATAATGGATTCAGTAAAGCCAAATATTGTTTTTGTTCTTGGCCCACCTGGTTCAGGAAAAGGAACACAATGCAAAAATATTGTGGAGGTAACATTCTTACATTTACTATAGATAAAGATTACAGTATATGCTTTAAATAAATATTAATTCTTCTTTTTTATAATGAAAATATTTGAAATATGTAGTTATTCATTAAGAAAATATATAGTTTTTATTTTTCTGTTAATTTTAATATAAATTTGATTTAATCTTAATGATTAACTTTGATTCTTTTCAAAACAGTTCTTTCAAAAAGTTTTTTTATTTTTCATTCATAAAAAAATGTTACTATTTTTCTTACACAGTTAAGAAAAATTTATTTGAAAGGGCATATTAAAAAAAATTTGAAGATATTTTTACATATCATTAAGAAATGAAAAAAATCTGCTAATTTTTATTTGGACATTTCTTTTTAACATATGAATTTAGTAATATTTTCTCTGAAAATCTTCAGTTTTTGAAAGCAAATATAAATGCTTTTATTTTTTCGTGGTAATAAAGGATTTCAATTTTGATAAAACTGTTGCAAAACATGATGTTGTCAATGACATATAAATGACATTAAATTTTCAGTCGTTCATGTCTCTCTTTGTATCTCTTCAATCTCGATTTGCTTTTTTTACATAATAAAAATTTGTCCAATATTTATATAAAGTAAGCATAAAATTTTGTTTTTAAATTAAATGTTTCATATCCATAAAAATTAATAACTTAGGATACATTGTTATTAGTATCTTACAGTGGCATGCCGTCATTGGAAGCGGTGGATGCGCCGCTTCCCTTGTATTTTCTAAAAAATAAATACATATTAATTTTAATTATATGAAAATAATCGCACAATATTTTATTATAATTGCATTATGTATCTTATNTGGAAGCGGTGGATGCGCCGCTTCCCTTGTATTTTCTAAAAAATAAATACATATTAATTTTAATTATATGAAAATAATCGCACAATATTTTATTATAATTGCATTATGTATTTTATTACAAATTTCTATACTACACGTGAAAAAAAAGATAAGATTGCTCTTGTGTATTCGAGTATTAGTGGCGGAGTGGAAGTGCTGTATTGTCAGCATCCAAAAAGCCAGATTCGCGCACGTGCTTTACAGAGCGCCAACCTCACCCGGTTTAGCCGGTGGAAGCCTAGGACCTCGGGTGGATGCTACACGTATACTGCATCCAATTCTATCTGGGACCAGTTCTGGGCTGTTAGCCGCCTGCCTGCTAGATATTTGGCCACCCTCGCCCGATTACGTGAATCACAGATTTATAACTTAACCCAAACGATAAGAATTTACTGGTATGTTTTTATGATAGTTCTGTATAGTTGACAGGAGTTTAAAAAAATCTATTAAAATATTTGATATTTTTATTCCGCTTTCTGATTTTATATTACTCACGGATTTCAATGTTAAACCAGTGATATTACAATTTCATATGTCCCATCTTTAAGAGGATGTAGAAGAAAACATGTACAATTCTTGTACAATGTTAAAAAGTTAACTATTACTTTAGTAGCATCATTTGCAACTAAATTTAATGAATGAGAGAGATGCACTAGGTACAGAAAAAGCTATAGAATTTATTTTCCTTAAATTTACGATTTATGTATCCGTTTTTCATAAAAATTTGTCTTTCCACTTTTTTCCCAAGACTACAAATATTCGAGTACAAAGTAACTGTTTCGACTTACTTCTACTTAAGAAGTAGTTAAATAATTAAGTGATTAGGGTATTGGGGACATAAACAAAATCCTGCTGAAAGAGCCGAAATTTACTTAAACAAAAGCTTAACCGAACCAATCTCTAGCCGAGTACAGTGGAGACTAGTTTCTTCTTATTATTAATGTAATAAAGACAGAAATTTTTCCAGTTTAATGAGAGTGACTGAAAAGTTGTAAATTTTGGAAATTTCCGTGGACACCTGGTCCTAAAACGAATTAGTTAGAAAATGACTATTAAGTTTAACATATTTAGATTTTTACAGCTATGGTGAGAAACGTTTAAAATCTACAAAAGCCCTGTTGCGTCCTTTAAGATATACTAATGATGCGACAAAAGAGGTATTTGGCATTGACCGGTATCGGCACCCTGGGGATTTGGCAGTCGGCATGTATGCACGCTCTGCAATCATCTTCGATTCCATCCATTAGCCACTCGTAGGGAGCTATTTGACTAAGTGCATTGTTTTAAGATTTAAAAAGTAAAGAAGATTTTATGTTATTTTTATGTATGTTTCTTTACAAAGCTATATTTAATTATAATTTTCTTTAAAAATATATTCATACAATTGAAGAATGTTTTGTACCAGGTATGTATATCCACCACACATTTTATTTTACCAAGTAAGTTTTTATTATTTTATTTTTAATTGTAGCCCTTATATCGTGGTTAGCGATTCAGAATGTAATTGTGACATTAAAAATGCATTTAGAGAAGTCTACAATTTTTACTGGCTTATCGAATAAACGATATGAATGGACTCTAGACCATCACTGATGCGCAATTGACTGATTGCCCCCTGGATGTCAGCTCCTTATAGAAACACAACTTCCCTATTATCAAATGTCACGGCATGCCACTGGTATCTTTTTATATAATTTAACATGTTTTGAAAGGATAGCTCAATTTTATAAAATATTGATCTATAACAAATGAACCTCTTAGCAAATACTGGAGGAAATATAATTCATCACACAAAAACTTTGCTTTTCTAAATTTTGAATCGCATTCATTTCATTTTGTTGTTCCGTTCTACACACATTTGAATTCCTCATAACCGTAGTCTGATGAAGACCTGGATGGGGTCGAAAACGTTTGCTGTTTTGTAAACACGTATCATTGGAGTTACAAAGGTTTTTTGTGTGATGAATTATATTGATCTGTAACATAACTTCTTAAACTTTTTCCATTCACAACCCCTTTTTGCCTGAGAACATTTTACACAACCCTGGGTATATGCATATGTAGGTACTGTACATAAAATAAATGTACAAATAAAACATAAACTGATTATAAATCAAAGAAATTTAAATCCAAACAATTCTTTGTTATAATTATAATTTTACCACTTATTATTATTTATTAGAACAAAAGCAAATTTTCATACTAATGAGATGGATGAGATCATTTATTTTTGCATAAATAACTAAATCTTGGCTGAATATTTGATACTGCAGGACGCAGGATTGATATTTTGATTTTACAATTGTCAATGATGAAAATGAAAAAGGATATAACAAATATAGCAAGAGGCATAATGAATATATTGTACATTCCCTCCAAGAAATAAGTATGAAATGCAAATTCTCAGATAAGGAGTTAATATGTGAATTTTATTTGGCAGAACTTGGTGTATACTTGAAGTACAATATACAAATATTGAAACACAAGTAAATACACATTAGCTCCATTTGAAATATGAAACTTCACTTTATCCAACACTGGAAATATCAGTTACATACCTCAAAGCCTGTTACTGGTGTGCAGTTAAAATGAAAAAATAAAATTTCACAAACATTTTTGAACCTTCAACGGTTCTTCTTCAGGTGGCGACAAATTTCCATTAGAATGTCATTAAATAATGAAATTATTTGAAATTTGAATATGCGCTAGCCGATGAATTTTTATCAGGCACATGCTCTACATACGTAGCAAATGATGAGAATTTATAGCATTTTGTCCATTAGCACTTACCATGCCAAAGATAGATTTATTTCTTCCTTGTGATTGATGCAAGTGTTGCTGTGTTTGTATATGTATAAAGCTTCAAACCACTTTAGATGTTCAGTGTATGGTGCGCTGTGGATAATTCTCGCCTGGCTAAAATTCAGTTCTGTTTCAGGATCACTGGCTCACCAGGATACTCAGAGCTGTGGTGGTCCTGGTGTGTTGTACGTCCATGATGTACTCTTTTATTCTAATGCCCAAGGAACGCTTCATAGAGCCAATGTAGCATAGCTCTTTATCACATCTGCAATCTTTTATTGGGATGATGTAGACTCCTGGGAGTCTATCACTGCTAGGAACGTCCTTTCCATTGCAAAGGAAGTCATAAATGGACACCTTCTATACATGATGTGAATGCAACGCTTCCTAGCTATCTGTGTAAACAGTGATTGAAGGTACGGGTTATAAGTGATCGGTGTCCTTTCCTTCTCTTGTCGGTCTTTGTTGCAGGAGTGGGCTTGGAGCATTCCTTCGGAAACCCAAAAATTAATCAGAAAGTTCCACTGCTCCCGAGAAACGCTCCAAGCCCACCAGATCTGAACCCTACAGAGCAAGTATGGGATGCTCGTGGGAGAGCTGTAGATATCCACCAAACCCTTCCAACAGGCTCTCATATAACAGTGGGAATTACTGCCTTCTAACCTCATTGATCACCTGATAGCTGGCATAAATTGTCCCCTGCATTAGTGTAAGAAAAAAATCATATTCCTTATTGACAAACATTTCTCATTTACTAGTAAGACCTGCCATTTTGACCACTTTTTTAATTTTTTGAATGTCAGACTATATATTTTGTGTGCTAATAATAGGCAGAGTCCTATTCTGTGTTACTGTAAAATTTGAAATAAATTACTGCAGTTGTTTTTGATTTGTCTGATTTTTCACTTTTGTGCTTATTTTTGGAGGGGCATGTATAATAATGAGAATTTAAATAATAGGCTACTGTTCTGCCCACTTCAACATACAATGATGAGAGTAAAGATCTTAAGTATGAATTTTGTCTCAGGAAGTGAAAGAATTGATTCTGTAATGCTTCACGTCAATCATAACAATCAAAAGTGGTTTCAGTTCATTATATCAGGAAATAAATATTTATAAGCTTTGAATAAAAATGTGCAAAAATTCTCTATTTTTGAGCATAAATCAACATCACAAAATGAAAGAAACTTTTGATTTATGGCATTTATGTTAAAACCAAAGACCCCTATTTCAAATAAATCAATAGACTCAATGTGTGTATTGAAAAGTTATTTTAATAAGCATTTTTAGTAAATGTAGAAACAAATATAATTAATTTTTAATATTTAAAAATCCGTATAAAATAAATATGAGGCAATCTTCTACTCCTCTTTTGTAAGGTTTCTTCTGCATTATTTTTTTTTCTAACTAATCTTAGTTTTTTTTATAAATAATCAAGTCTTTTTTAATCTCAAGATTTTTGAGAATAAAATAATGAATATGTAAAAATATCAGTAAAAAATTTTTCTTGATTCAGGAATTCTCAATTCTCAAGAATCCATAAAATTTGGGAAAAGCAATCTCTGTTCACAATATACAAGGGTGTACTGTACAAATTTTATGCTTATATGGTGAGGAATGACAGCAAGAAAATTTTATTAAAATTTTTATTTTTGGTAATTGAACTATTATGTTTCTGTAAGAGCACAAAACTTTACTGGCATTACATGACATGATGACATGCACAATGCAAAGTTTTAAAAAAGTACATAGTAACAGAATGCGATTGAATAGGGGAGTAGATTTAATTGAAAAGTAGTAGCAGATCACATTGAGAAAAAATGTAGGAATGCTTTATTTCTCTGTTATGTATCCATAAGATGACTTTTAATTCTAATTAAATATTTTAAATCAAAATGATTTTTCTAATTATTTTTGCTCACCAGTCTTTGAGAATTTAACAGAGGAATGTTTTGGATTGAAGTGACATCTTTCATGAATAGTTGCTAAAGTTTTCTTGATCCAAAATTCTATTGTGTTCTCATATGAGGTCACAAACCTTATTTTGAGAAGTCCTGATATTAACTGTTTTTTTTTTTTTTTTGATATTTTTAATTTGAAATTTCATTTAATTTTTTTATTTAAACAATTGTAAATCAGCATTTTTATTTATTGAGCTATGTGTAGGAAAGTATATTGTGCATACATAAGCATGTAAAATTGTCAGATAATACACTACTATATGCATGTTAAAAAACACTAGTAATATACAATAAAGTTGTAGGTTGAAGTGCATACATACTTCTATTTGTGATCAGATTTTACTAATATCTATTATTTTTTTACTATTGAACACAAGACTGTGTTATTATTAAAACACTTGGCGTTTATCCACTTTATTCAGTTGAATTCAGTTTATCCACTTTATTCAACTGAATAAAGTGGATAAACGCCAAGTGTTTTAATAATAACACAGTCTTGTGTTCAATAGTAAATAAATACGAAAACATGGTTTCAAAAAACGAATCGATATCTATTATGTCATACTTTTTATATGGGAGGTGATAAACAGGTGACAATAGTGAAATAGGTGACACAAGGAATTGAAAATTGAGGTCACAAAACACATATTAGAATAATGTTTTATGTAGGAGGTATGCAATCAAGTCAATTATAAATAAAATTACATGTTCAATAAAATTTTATAACTTTCTAAGATATCAAATCAATCATTGAATTTATTTCTGTATATATACAATTTTTACAAGATGTTTGAGATTACTGGGGAACCTGTCAACTGGGCAACAGACATCTGGGTGATGATATAAGAGATGAACAATAGACATAATACAAATTTTTTGTTTTGTTTATAAAAAAAATCACTGATCCAAGTTAAATGAGTTAAAAGAATGATTTTGTAATTAACAAACATATTTATACATGTTACATACATTAAAACAAAAAAAAAGACATAAAATTCAAAACAAACTTTTCATTTTAAATTGATCAATTCATATTATAATTGTAAGCAATGCCATGTAAATATTCAAAGACAGATAAATGATTTACAATTAATGAATGTCAAAAATGTTAGAAAGGTGATAATTTTACAACTGCTAGACTTATTTTTGAAGTTAGTGAGATTTTATTTTATTTAATAAGTTGTCCAGTTGGAATTTGAAGAACTGTTAATATAGTGTTTAACCCTTTATTGCCTGACGGGACTTTTTAGTCCCACTATCTTTGAAATTTTTTATTTCATTGTGTATACATTATAGTTTACTGGGACTTATATTTTTTCATTGTATAAAGTGTTCTTTTTCTTTTTTATAGAGTAGTAACTTTCAAATTGTTTTTGTTTTAGTTTTGTTAAAAAAAGTTTCACATCATGTGTTGTTTGAATGGTAGTAGCTGATATTGCTTTCTTTGTTGCCAAATTCTACTTATTGTTTATAAGTTAACTGTCTTTGTATTTTTTAATATATATTCTACATATGTGTAGTTTGATTTCAATGTATTATGTTTTTAGAATTAATTATATGCAAGCCGTATGAGATCAAAATATGTTTAGGACTTATAAATCCCATCAGGCCTGAGAGAATTTTTTTTGTAAATGTTAAAAATTTGTATTTTCTACATTGTGATTTATAGATTTATGAATTTGTTTAACATTTTAATAGTTAATATGGATAGAAGACTTATATATAAATAAATAGATAATCTTTTATCAAAAAAATTTCCATCTGATATTGATACATATCAAAACCCTATTCAACATGCATATTATGTGAAGTTTTCTTGTGTGTAAATGGGAAAAAATAGCTTTTTACATTTTTACAAATCATAAATTATTAAACTAATGAATTTTATTTCAGGTTTGTCATGCATTTTAATTTTTTTTTTTAAATTTTGACCTTATTATATTTTAAAAGTTATCAAATACTTAATATATATAATTATGCATTTAATCTGCCAATTTCTCTGATAAAAGTTCTTTATATAAAACAAAAATATTTTATTTTTGTAATATTAAACAAGAAAAATCTTGTTAAGTCCAAATGTGCTCTAAAGCCTGACAGGACTAATAAGTCCCATAATTAAAAAATTTGTTATTATGCTTGATATACTATTCACAGGAATTCCAAACTTTGCTACAATGTCTTTCTTTTTTGAGCCTTTATCAACTTCTTGCAACACATTCAATTAATTTTTTTGTAATGCTTAAGCTATTTTGAAAAATATTGGATTTTGTAATAGAATGTAAGTGAATTACAAGAAAAGTTAAAAAAATTAATGTTTACCTTTTAATTTTTTTTTTTTAGGAATTTGGATTTGTTCATCTTTCAGCAGGTGATCTGTTGCGGGAGGAACGAAATACTTCAGGTTCTAAATATGGTGAATTAATTGAAAATCATATCAAAAATGGAACAATTGTACCTGTTGAAATTACTTGCAGCTTATTGGAAAAGGTAAAAATACAGGATTACGGGAGATATGTTTTGTATTCCATAAATATCTTCTCTATTGAATGAATATTTATTCAGAATACCAATTTTTTAATTCTCTTATACAGAGGGTTCTTGTCTAATGAGTATTCATTATCTGAGTCCCTATAATTACATGGTCAAAAAATTGTGAAACACCACTTAAAAATTCTCCACACTTATGAGGGTTCAAATGGTGCAAGAGCAAATGGTAATTTCCCTTTGCACTATGTGACCTATGTGCATATTGATATATGTCACTGTATAGTACACTGGATACATTATTGTGCATTCATATTTCATTTCAGTTTTGATTCTGGTGGATTTTTCTTTTTTGTTTTCTGATTTTGTTTTTGAAATTGTGTCAACAAAGTGTATCAAAAATAATGATGCAGTTATGAAAAGGAAATACAGTCTAGATGTTAAAATAGACATAATTAACAAAAAGAAGAAAGGAGAAAATGTAATTAGTATTTTTCATGTCCTTAACATGTCAGATTACAGTTCAAACAATTGTTAAGAAAGTTTCAGATTTATAACACAAAGCCAAAACTTGACATAAGCCACTCCGAAGTGAATCTAACATGATTGTAAAATAATGTAGCAGATACAGTAAAGTCCCGAAAATTTGGCCTAATGTGGATCGAAGGGTGTCCGAGTTTGTGAAAATGCCGGGTTATCGGGATTGAGGTTAAAAAAAAATAAGTACAAGTGTTTCCTCAGAAAATGCTGTACTGTACAGTACTTGTATGTATTGTTTGCTTGAGAATACAACAGAATAAACTGCCCAAATACCCTTAAACAAAGGAGAAGTACGTACTTTATGAAGGCATAGAGCCTTTACTATATGAAAATGAAAATTAATGAATACATAGTGTACAGTAATTTACCTGATAAGACAGACCTCAGAAAAATACTTTGAGGCATAAAGCTGTCTATAATGAAATTTAACTAGGGGATTTTTGCCCTGCCAAGGTGTGGCTGAGTGATCTGGACTGCTGGGTTATCGAGTGCCGAGTTTTTGGGACTACTGTATAATGAAAAAGTGTCTAATAACTTGGATTGAAGATCTCTGCCAACAACATATACCTACCTGATTCCGGAAAAGCTTTATATGAAGATAATAGAAAGGTGGTGGTAAAGAGGCTGCAAAAGCTAAGAATTTTTTAGTATCAAAGGGCTGGTTTCACCATTTTCAAAAACCTTATGGATTTAAGGACATTAAAATTTAGGGAGAAATTGCTAATGTTAATACAGAAGCAACTGGAGTTTTTCACCTGAATTGAAGAAGATGCTTGATGAGAGGAGTATTCAATTATTAGCAAAATGTAAAATATTGCATATTTTGAAATAGCTTGTAATATAAACCAGTAAGAGTTTTTAAATTGATACTGATCTGTAAAAATTTAGTAAAGTTTTCATATTTCATTCAAATACCATATAAGCTGTTCTAATTAAACAATAATTAATAAACTTAAAATAAGTTTTTAAACTCTTCTTTCAAGTATGTACATTTTTATCTTTGTTTTGAAATTCTGAATAAATTAGTTAAAAATTCAGATTTGAAGCTTTTAACTACTGTTATTGTTTTATCAATAAATATTGTGACTGTTGAGTTTCATTGAATTAGATAATTAGTTTGAGAGATTACTTGAACATAGGTTGTAGAGAATCTATTATAAATAAACTTGTGGATGAAAAAAGATATCGTCTGTGAAGTTTATAAGAAAATGGTATGATTTTTCTCTCACAGATATGTGCATAAATCTGAAAAATTTCTTGATGAATGCTATGCTGTGTAAGGATTTATGACGACTAAACTTAACACTTCTATAATTAACACCCATCACACTAGCAATATTAGAGTACTTTTTTTTCATTTAACTGTTGGTCAATGTTCTTTTAATTTATTCAGCTATGATTATTTAGAATAGATTAAAAAATTTGTATAGAATATTGATAACTTCAAAATATTTAATAAATTAATTAGGAATTTAGGAAATCTTATTCAGTGGATAAAGTATTTTGTCAATAATAATTATTGATTGGTTCATTAATTGCTTAACTGTGTTTTAGTCAAAACTTTCAATATTGGGTTTTTTCCTGTTTGAATATTGAAAATGGCTCTCATGTGGTCTTTAATAAATTAAACTAAACATTCGGGTATTATGAAATGAAATACGTTTGAACTCTTATTATAAGCACTAGGGGACTGGCAAGATTTCCTCATTATATCTGTGAAGAGCTGTGACATAACTAGGGGGAATGGGCAGCTGCTTTGGGTGCAAACACATAAAGGGTGCCTCGTGGATGACAAAATTTTTAATGTCACTGATGATTAGTGAAATCTATCTTTTAATTTTTAATTCTAAATAAATTGATAGATTCAAAAACAATTAAGTAATTACATTATACTGTATTTTAATAATTATATAAACTAAAATATAATTGTTAAATGAATTATTCAGGCTTCTTAGTTTTCATAATATGCTTTATTACAAATTAGATAAAGATAAAACCAATAAAGTGCATTATTTAAATTACATAATACTGTAGACACTTCAATCCTACAGAATGCCTTTTTTGATGGGAAGAGATAAGATCACATATTCAACTGGTGGTGCACCAACTTGAATATGTGATCTTGTTTCTTGTCAGTAATTGTGCTGACATCGTGAATTTCTGTCTCAACAATAATTAATATTAAACAGTTTATTTTTTTCATAATTAAATATAATACTAATTAATAAAAGCCTGATTTCAGTTAGTCTTTATATCTACAAATCTTAGAATTGATAATTGCTTCAAATATTTCACTTTCATATTTCTCAAATTTCTTCTTAAAGTAGTCAAAGCATTGAAAGTCTCATTATTTACTTAATTCCCTTCAAAAAACCTGACTAATGTATCCATTGCCTGTTGAACTTTAGAAATTGTAAGTATTAGTTTTGATTCAATTTCTCTTATCATTGTGTTATCATCACATTCATCATCATTACCATTGTCATAGATTCCATAAAGTCACTTTCAGTAGGAATACCACTAGTTAATAAATTGTCATTGATTCATAAAAATTCATTGATGTCATTATTAAAATCATGAATGTTGTTGCATCATAACCATTTAGTTAAAGATATGTTGTTTTCTTTGTTTTCATCACCACTTTTCAACCAGTGAAATTTCATTTGTATTTGATTTCAGTTTTTTGAAACAATTTAATATGGTTGTTGAAGTCAATTTGTTTCATGCATCACCTAACAAATTGATGGCAACCAATATTGATGTAATCTCATTAAACTTCTTCTCTCTTTCATGGATTAAATACAAAACTATAAATCTTTTATAAAATCCTTTCAAACTTTTGATTACACCCATTTCTGTTGGTTGTAAAATCAATGTGACATTGGGAGGCAGAAACACTAGCTTGATGTTGGACAAATTTTGAATCTGGGGATGTGCAAAACAGTTGCCAACTAACAAAATTTTTTTCTTTTTGGATAGTTCCTTATTCCAATCATTTAGACACTGCCAAAAATATCTGAAGTCATCCAGACTCTTCTGTTTGCAGGAAGATTCTTTACATTTTTAAAACACTGTGTTTTAATGATTTGCCAATAACTAGGGTTTTTCTTATTAGTTCCTGTCATATTTGCAAATACAAGCATTGTCAAGCAACTCTGATTTTTTTCCACAAACACATTTTTCCCTTTTGAATTTAAATGTGTAGTCAGGCATCAGATTATAAAAAAGTCCCGTTTCATCAGTATCGTGGATATCTGTCATTAAAATCTTTCTCATTTCTGACCAAACACTCAATTCATTCATTTGTGGTTACTGGATCAACAGATCGAGATTCTCCACTAATTTTTCAATAAATGATGATATGTTGGTTTTTGAATTGATTCAGCCAACTGTTGTTGCATCCAAATTGTCTAGCAAATTTTTCTGCTTGAGTCTTCAAGATCAATCCATCTATTGAAAATTTAGCACTTGTTTGTAGACTAAACCTTGTTGATGTTTACATGCTTACACTTTCTAAATTTTTTGTTTTAGTTGTATGTATTTCTTTCCAGTGCCAATAGGTAGATATCTTCACTTTTCCTAATGTCAATACTGTCAAGTAAGACAAAGAAAACTTTCTACACACTTCAACATTTTTAGTACCAATGCTCTAACTCACAAAACATTTCTACATTTTTGTAAACTGAGAGACATTTTCTTTTCTTCATAGACATCTTTCTCATGGAAGAGTTCATTTCTAACTACAATATATGGTAATTTTACAATTGTAATGATGAATAAGTAAATATTGGCAAATTGGCAGAGCAGGGTTGGAAGTTAGTCAACAAAGAGGGGGACTTTCTCCAAATAGAAAGTTAAGTCATAAATAGGCCTGTAATTGATGCATGTCATAAAACTAAGTAATCATTTCTGTTTTATCTCTTCTAAGCATTTGGTATCATATTTCTTATTACTTTAACAATTAAGAATGTTCGTATGTTTGCATAGATACAAAAAATTTGCTTAGTATAGTTATGAAAAAAAGAAACCATTTGATTCAATCAATTTTTTTTTTTTCTGAAAATGTTGCAGACAACTTGCTTAGATTTTACTGTTAATTCTGTAGAAAATCCATACAAATACTTTTTTTAGTTCTTTCCAAGAAACAGTTTTAGGTTGTCAACCTTCAATGTTTGTTGGCTGCTGTAAATTTTCTTATGGACCTCAGTTTATGATAACAAAACATATTATAACACTGAATTGCATACTAGTTCCTAGTCTTATTATCTTTAAAAATGTTAAATAAATAAAATTATTATTTTTAACTAGATGGAAGGCTGTTTAGCTGGATTTTGGCTAGCTAAAATAATCTTGGGGAGAACACTACTTTTTACATCACAAAACTTTGCTATTACTTATCTTTAGAACATAATGAAATTTCTTTGACTATAATGAAAGTATCTCATTTAAATGAAACTGTCCTAGAAAACTGTGTGCTCATGCTTATATTTTATCATATAAAATAATTTTATTTTTTCATTAAAATATTTGAATTCTTTGTGAATGCATATAGTTTGTTAAACTATATGCATTCACAAAGAATTCAATTATAATGGAAAATGATTTGTTTTGGTAGTTAATTTGCAGTATTGCAGCTGTTTTTGAGTGGTAGTGTCAATATTACTAATGCTTAAGTTTGTCTTTTCAATAAGATTCTATTAGCAAAGAATAGTTGCTTGATTCCTGAGTTAATAGGCTTAATAATAGATGTTTAGAGCTCTAGTGATTGGAATCAATCTCTATTTTTAAAATGGCTATTAGTTAATATCATTTGGGTATTAATCAAATATTTCTTGATGCACTAAACATTTTCTCTCCAAACTATATTTAACATTTCCATAGAAGAAAAAAATATATAAAACAAAAAAAAACTGGATTTTTCCAAAGTACACATAATTTATAGTTTACTTTGCACATATGTATTAACTTTCATAATTAATTTTTATAGTTTTAATTTTTATTGTAGTTTTTTTAATCAAATGTACTTATCATTAATTTATTTTAGGCAATAAATAATGCGAAAAGTAAGAACTTCTTGATTGATGGTTTTCCTCGTAATCAGAATAATTTAGAAGGATGGAATAAACAAATGGCTGACAAAGTTAATTTGAAATTTATTCTGTTTTTTGAATGCTCTGAAGAAGTAAGTATTATTTTTTTTTCAATTATAACAATTTCAATTCAACATTAATATAATCAGATTTCAATTCCATAAATTTTTCTAGCTAGATGGAATAAAGTAGTAGTTGTAAATACAACCCCCCCCCATTTCTCTCTATACAAACATATGTAATTTCAATTTATTATATAAATGTCTACTGGGACATATCATATTAGTAGGAATTACTACACTGGTGTCCAGGTTCTGCAAATTGAGGAAACTTATTCAGAAAAAAGAATCTTTATTATTCACCTGTTTCACCTGTTTCTCAGTTTGCAGAACCCAAACACCAGTATAATAAGTCCAATTAATACAATATGTCTCAATAGACATTTATATAATAAATTGTATAATAAGGACACAAAAGCATATGAATTAATATGGAATTTCAATTTCTGGAATCTGATTTTTAGACAGTTTTTCCACATAATTCTTCCTGTTTTCTTCTTGGTCTTTCTTTCTCTTTTTCATTTTTGCAATTTTTGTTTCATAGCTATCTTTGGCAATTTTATATTCTGGAATTCTTCTCATATAACCATATCATATTAAATATCTTTGTTTTATATAAATATACATGACCATTGAAACCCGATACGTTAAGCTAATACATCTACAACAGTCGTAAATTATGGCTGTTGTAGATGTATTATCTTTGTTTTATTTCATCAATTATTGATGCCTTTATGTTAATTTTTTAAATTATTTTTTAAGTTTTTATTTTTAAACTTATAAAATTTACAAAAAATTCTCAAATAGACAATATTTTAAAAAGTTTTTATTTTTAAACTTATAAAATTTACAAAAAATTCTCAAATAGACAATATTTTAAAAAATGTCCTCAAACTTATCCCTTTCACACACCATTAGTAAAGGTAAATGCCTCTGTAAATTTTTATTTAAAACTGTTATTTCCTGATGAAGGGACAAAGTTTGAGGACACTTTTAAAGTACCATATATATGTGTGATAGGCTGCATGCATGTATAAGCTGTATCCCATTTATGAAACAATATATTTGGAAAAAATTTAAAATCTTAGAATTCTGCTGAGGAACAAGAATAGACACACAAGTATACAGAAATGTGGCAACATTGCAAATTTCAAACAAGGATGAAGTTATAGTTAAGATTTTTTTTGGAGTGCTTGCTCAGTGTGTTAAACATGGGTCAAGTGAGAGCAACGTTTAAATTACAAGTGGTGCATTATGCACAAGAAAATGGAAATTGAGCAGCATGAAGGAAGTTTGATGTAAACAAGAAAAATGTGTGGCAATGGATTCAAACAAAAGATGCTCTTGAGAAAACGTCACAAAATTGGCAATTGTTTTGCAGAAAGACAGTGAAATATCCTGACCTATCTATTCAGATATATCTGTGAAATTTGGGCAAATGGATTTTCTGTATCTGTTGAAATGATTCAGTTTAAAGCTTAAAAATTGCTCAAAATTTGAAAATTTTCAAAAGTGAAGTTACAGCTGAGCAAGACGTTTTATGGCTTCATGACACCTGTGAAGAGAAACTGCTCACATCTCAGAAACATATCCTCAGCTTAAGAAAAACACACTGCTATGACTTAAGGGCAATAGACAATGCTGACGAAACTCCTATCTTCTTTGATATGCCAAGTGACACTACAGTCAATCAGGCGGGTGAAAAACAGTTCTGGTGCAAACAGTGGGAGCAGGAAGGCAGTGTTGTACTGTAATGCTGTGCATCATTGCTGATGGAAATAAACTGCCACCTTATGCTGTTTTTAAGCTTAAAACCCTACTGAAAGAAACACTAACACTTGGAATATTGGTATAAAATCAAGGCTAGATGGCAGAAGAACTCTGAAGTCTGTGTGGTTTCGGTGTCCAGGTGCACTGTTATGTTGGCAGTCCATATTGGTTATTGACAGCTTCTGAGGTCATCTAACTGTAAGCATGAAAAAGATGAGGGAAGAGAAAAGTGATATGCTGTGATACCAGGAGGAATGACTGGAATGCTGCAACCACTGAATATATCCATCAATCATCCTTTTAAACCTCATCTGCGATGTTGTATCGTGATTGGAAGTGCACTGCAACAGAGATGACATTGATTGGGAAGCTAAGAAAACTGTCTCTGTCTCAAATGTACAAATGGATTGTGGCTTCATGGAAACTAATACCAGAAGAAATGGTGTCTAAAAGTTTCAAAGTCATGCCCATTTCCAATGTGATGGATGGGTCAGAAGACAATGCAGTGTATCTTCTATAATCTGAGGATGAAGACTCAAGTAATGCTGGTAGTGACAGTGAAGTTTCAAATGAAGAACATAAACAATAGCTATCAGCTATCAGTTTTAAATGAAGACATTGATTATAAATTTTATAGTCTTGTAGCATTACAGTCTGTTTCAAAATTAGAAACACACCCAACTTTTTTCAATAACAAAAACATTAACAATAGTAATGTATTTATTACATTAGTATGTTATTTATAACATCAATTTAAACATTTTCTGAAATTTTTAGAGCTATCTGACAATAGAAAAAAAAATTAACACAGATTTTCAATTTTTGTTTTAAAAGTATAAACATAGGTGCATAAAATTAGTATGATAATTCTTTTTATTAATTATTATTTTAATTAGTTGTTACCAGAGGGTAGTATCATTCATTATTACAAAAATGGCGCCAATGTTAAACTGTTTTTTGTGATTTAAAACAATGCCTCATGGAAAAACACTAACAGAGTTAAAAATACATGAAAATTACCACTAAAAGGAGCAGGACAAGCTCTAAGACAAATTTCAGCAGCTGTAAATTGATCTACATGTGCTGTGAGAAATGTGTTAACTCAGGATGAAAATTATGGCAGAAATAAGTGATGTGGAAGGCCTAAACTTCTTACATCTAGAAATGAAAGAAAGGTTTTTTGGCTACTGACGATCAACAAGTTGTCTGTCAAAGAATCAGCATCAACATTGCCAATTGCAGTTTCACCAGCAACTGTATGGAGATGTATGCATAATCATAAAAATGCCAAATTTACAAAAATGGCTGCCAAATTGAAATTATCACAATTGCACAAAACAGCTAGAAGTGGGTCAAGACAAGATGATATGGAAAGAGGAGTGCAAACAAATAGTCTTTTCAGATGAAAAAAAAATGGAAATTTGGATGGACCTGACAGTATAGTCACTACTGACATGATTTGAGGAAGAATGACGAAGTCAGAATGAGCAGACAGCAAGGTGGAGCTTTTTGATGGTGTGGGCAGGATTTGGATGGGGGAGTAAAACAGACATTGTATTTATAGAAGGTAAAATGAATTCAGAAAAGTATCAAAACTGTTGTATTAAAATTTAACAACTTTTGGATCACTTATTGGGGGAGAAAACTGGCAATTCCAACAGGATAATGCTCCCATTTATGCATCAAAGTCAACTAAAAATTGGTTTGCTGAAAAAAATTAATATAATTGATTGGCCATCACAGAGCCTTGCTATGAACCCAATAATGTTTGGGGCATTATGAGTCATCTTGTTTGTAGCCAAAATAGACAATACAATACCGTAAATGCACTGAAATTAGCTACAATGGATTGTTGGGAAAATATCAAACAAGAACAACTTCAAAAACTAATAAAATGTATACCTGACAGTATTTGAATTAATTAAATTAATGGTGGACCTAAAAAATATTGAAACATCACAAATCATTTTACGCATCTCTGTTTACTCTTTTGAAACAATCAAAAATTGAAAATCTTTGGTAATTTTTTTTTGTCAGATAGCTCTAAAAATTTCAGAAAACATTTAAATTGATGTTGGAAACAACATACTAATATAATAAATACATTACTATGTTTTAGTTATTGAAAAAAGTTGGGTGTGTTTGTAATTTTGAAATGGACTGTATTGCTTAGTTGGAGTCTTAGACAGCTCCCTTTTATTTATTTATTTGTTTGTTTGTTTATATTTTTTTTTTTTTTTTTTGCATTTTCTTTGTGCTTTTCCTTCTTTTTGCTTTTTGCTTGGTGTCCTAAAACTTCCAAATAATCTTACTGCAAGTCCTAAGGTATGTAAAGTCAATTAATTAATGATAATAAATTGCTTTAAAATTAAAAATTTTTTTTTGGTCACAATTAGGTGCATTGATAGACACTGGGCATTTTTGCATCACTCTTTATTCTGTAAGATCTTGTGGGCTGATAACCTAGTTGTGACACAAAAAAGCAAATAAAAGAATTTTCCAGCGCTCTCTACTCTGTGGATAAAAGGCAGAAAACCCCCAAGAAGGTACAGATGGTAACAAGGAAGACGTTCGTATTACACCAGTTCCGATTTTAGAAAATCTTTGTGTTTTTAATTGGAAATCTTTTTGTGTTTTTTAAAAGGACTTTTTTAAACTTTTTGGTGGCTAGTAGCCTAGAAAGGAAGGTCGGTCGGTGGAAAAGTATTGTCTATAACGCAAAAGTATGAAATGGTGATCCCTATTTGGGCGAACTTGTCTTCAAATAATAATAAAAAATAAAAAGAACCATCGGTCAAAAAATTATGAATAAAAGAAGACACACTTTCAAAGTAGTCTTCTTTATTCATTATCTCGAGTATAGGCTACACCTAATGTTGGATAAAAATTTAGGATAAAAAAGTGCAGCCTATAAATGAGTAAATATGATATTATCTGTTTGAGAATTTTTTTGTAAATTTTTAAAATTTATACTTATTGTCCCAGCCATTTTTATTAAAAGTGTTTATTTTGTTCAAGCATGATATTCTGCATGGTCTCATCAGTGTATCTAGTTTGACTACACATAGCTTTCTTTTAATATTCTCCATATAATAATATACTTTTCACTTCCCTCACACAAGTATTTTGTTTTTCTCGTGCTAATAGATTATACATGCACACATAAAAGATACCATTCGTGTTATATTAAAGTGCATTTGAAAGAGATTGCACGGAAATTAATTCATCTAAAAAGGCCAGCCTTGGCAATGTTTTTTTGATAGTTGGTAATTTTGTCATAGTTTTGATATCATCACTACTGCGCTTATCAGTTTTTTGTAAAATAACTAAAGAATGTTATTTTTTGGCTTAACTTTAAACCATAGTTTAATAAATACAAAATACTGTTGTTGTTACATCTAATATGAACAAATCACTGATTTTTACTGACAGCATAGTTTCCATTTGTGGAAAAATCCTGTAGGAAACGAAAGACCTTATTACTATTAGAGAAAAATTGTGTAAGTAACAACTTTGGAAAACATACCTAAAATAAAGTTAATATTATTTACACATTAATCCATTCTCCAAATACACAAAATGTTCAGAATAACATATTTTGGTGTGATTGAAATGACATCAGAATTCCAAGATGAATAATAATATGGATAATAGAACATTATTTGCCAATCATACAATATTTCATGCTTATTTTCTAACCCTTTACACATTTTTTCAAAAGTTAAATGTTGATGGATATCTAAATGCTTTGTAATATAGGAAAAAGTCTGATAACACAGAGATTGAAGATATACAAGAATGACATGTCTTATACGAGAGTATGTATAAGTATGCATGTAATTGTGTCTTGTATATGATTTATTTTTCAGCTATAATTTTTACAGTGCATGTGATAATGTTTTAATGCAAAAAATTTCAGCAAAAGTAAGCTGGTAAGACACCTGCAGTTATCATCTTCAGAAAAACCATATGTTTTATGAAAATGTTTGTAATTGTACTTTTACACAATACAGTAGAGCGTCGATTATCCGAATATTGGTCAACTGAAACGTCAATTAATCGAAAGCTTTCCAGTTGGCAAATTTAAATTTCTGTTAGTGCTATGGCACTGCAATATTTGGCTGTCTTGGGCTACTCCAATATTATTTTTGTTGGTGTGCATGTTTTAGCTGGCAGCACTGGCGTGACCATGAGAGGGTACTTAAGGACTTGCCAGGATTTGAACGAATTTCAACGGGATAGGTTAATATATTTTTTCGTACATACAGTCGACCCCCCTATAAGATCATTGATTTTTCCGTTTTATCTGAATTACATGTTGTACGAGTCACTTAGATTTTACAAATACGTGTGCCGGACTGTGAATGGCTCACATATTTGTAAAATCTAAGTGACTCGTACAACATGTAATTCAGATAAAACGGAAAAATCAATGATCTTATAGGGGGGTCGACTGTAATCAGTTATCTGAAAAATTGATTTTCTTAACAACCCCAGTCCCCAATTGATTTGGATAATTGATGCTCTACTGTATTATTATTTATTCTATACTGTAATAAAAAGTACAAAATAATTACTGTGACCGTAGGGTCGGCACCTCTTTGGCGCCCTGTCAGGAGGGCTGAATCTGACACCACCGAGTCTCTGGGGGACTCGAAAATCGTGACGTTACGTCTAAAGATTCGCGAGCGGTAGCGTGTGAGCGCTTGGATTCGGAGTAGAGGTGAGGAGAGAGACGCGGAAGTAACTTACTCGGACTCCATAGTAACAAGTAAATAACGATTTTAATTAAGTCGAACTAAATACTACACAGAGATACTAAATACTATCGGCATATTATTGTCCTTAACTATACTAGGCCGCGGAGAGAGAGAGTTTACAACCGAATCGCGGGTTGATAAATACCTTGTCGATGGACAGTTCTTTGAATCTTGAATGGACAGTTCTTTGATGGACAGTTCTTTGAATCTTGTCGTTGAATCTTGAATCAGAATCTTGTCCGTTCACTGGGGTGGAGGCACGGAGGAGTGTAGAGGCTTAATCCAGCACGAATGTTTTTCTCGGGTTTAATCCTGGTCGCGGTTTTAATTCGGTGTTACGGTTTTAATCCTGGGGCACGGTTTTAATGGTTTGGAGGACGACTTGGTTGGGCGGGCTTGAATGACGACTTCTGTAGAGGGACTTCGGATGACGACTGACCTCGGGATCGTTTTCTTTTCTCTTTTTTTTTCCTCTTGGGTTTTTTCCATGAGGTCAGGTGATGGCCTTTAACGGTCGCACGTCCAATATGGATTCTCCATCAGCAGTTCCTGGTGACACATCCCTGACTAACTTGATTCGACTCAACAAGGAACAAACTCCGTGGGAAATAATTTTTATGGCTTTTAGCCTAACTCGATAAAATGTTCGAATTTAACCGATTATATTTTCCAAATCTTAAAATTTAAAATAACACTTTAATGGGGGTCTGTTCGTCCCTCACATTACAGTAGAGCGTCGTTTATCCGAATCAATTGGGGACTGGGGTGGTTCGGATAACTTATTTTTCGGATATTGAATCATATGCGAAAAAATATATTAATTTATCCCATGTTGAAATTTCTCTCCATTGTGTGTCGCTTCGCGTTGAATCTTCGTCGATGTTAAGCCTAATGAAGACTATTGTATCGTTAAAAATTATTTTTTTATTTTGTACGAACAAAATAAATTTATTGAAAAATATAAAAACAATAAAAAATTATACTTCAGATGTTAATTTAGTATCAAAAATGTAAAATATTTGAGTAGCCCGAGAAATAGCCGAAGATTGCAGCACCACAGCACTAGCAAAAATTTAAATTTGCCGACTGGAATGCTTTCGGATAACGGATGTTTCGGATAACCAGCTTTTGGATAAACGACGCTCTACTGTATAAAAATATACATATAGACAAAAACTTAGTCCAGCAACACATTTTTTTTAAATTTATCTAATTATTTCGGCTGTTTGTGTAGCCATCTTCAGGATCAAACACTATTGAATAGAATTCTTTAAAGTTTAAATATTCTAAACAAGAATTATTTAAATACATAAAATTGGTAAGTTGAGAATACAAGTAAAAGTTTACAACACTGATGAAAGTATACAGAATAAAATAAATAAACAAATTAATTAAAACAAAATTTTTATATAAGCAAAAAGTAAAAAATAATTATAAAAATATAATTATTTTTTACTTTTTGTTTATATAAAAAACTTCATGACATGGCTGATTGGGATAGTGGATGATCACAATTCTATTGTATTTGTTTTCTAAATGATTAATGTTTAGTTTTGTTACGTTTGCCACATCGATGAATTGATGTTATAATTGCCCTCATTTCCTATTAGCTATTGACTTTGTGTCTTACAATGGAAAAATATTTTTAATTTGATTTTCTGGACCCTTTTCTCTGCTACAGAAATGAAAAAATATTTTTAATTTTTGTTTCTACATTGTTTTTCTGTAAATGGAAACATAGTTTTAAAATATCATTATTTTAACATGTCAAGTCATCAGATTAATTAGCCAAGTAGTTAGTAAAATAAGCCAGAGTACTCATCTAAAAGGGCTAGAGCGAATATGATAATGATATTTTAACTAAATATACTTTAAATTATATAGAAATATTGAAACATTTAAGTGCATATATGAAAGTATTAAATCACAGTTATGAAGTGTCCTCCTTTATTGGTTTTTAAAAGTATTTTAAAAAAGGACCACAATATCATTTTTTTTTGAAGTTCTTTTCAGCACTCTGTATATGCAAATATATTGAAATTTCAAAACATATAAGTAGATTTTAAAATTGTTTATATTTTTAATGATTGTTTTTAGTATGATGCATGAGGTAAGAAAAGAATTGCCAAATTGATTTGTACTTTTATGTTAATTTTAGGAGAAAGAATGCAGTTTTATAAGTAATAATTTTTTTTTTTTTTTATTAAAGACAGCATTTCAGATGAATTTCCAATGTTTTGGAAATTAGACATTTTAAAGATATCAGTTTGGCTTCATACTGTATATTTGACAAAATGTTGCAAACTCTGCAGATTGCATGACAAAAGTCTTAGATTTAGTAAAATATTTTTATACAGTAGAGTCCCGAAAACTCGGCACTCGATAACCCGGCAGTCCGGATAACTCGGCCACACCCTGGTAGGGCAAAAAAACCCTTAGTTAATTTTTATTATAGACAGCTTTATGCCTCATAAAGTATTTTTCTGAGGTCTGTCTTATCAGGTAAATTACTGTACACTATGTATTCATTAATTTTCATTTTCATGTAGTAAAAGTTCTATGCCTTCATAAAGTATGTACTTTTCCTTTGTTAAGGGTATTTGGGCAGTTTATTCTCTGTTGTATTTTCAAGCAAACAATACATACAAGTGCTGTACAGTACAGTATTTTCTGAGGAAACACTTGTACTTATTCTTTTTTAACCCCATTCCCGATAACCCGGCATTTTCACAAACTCTGCCACCCTTCGGTCCACATTAGGCCGAGTTTTCGGGACTCTACTGTATATTTATAAATATCAATAATTTATTGTATTATTGTATAATTTTGTAAATTGTATATATGTAATTTTAAATTCTATGTGCATGTGTCGTTTTATGTAATGCCAACAGACAGTGGTGTATGTGTATGTTATCTTTTTTTTAATAGTATTTACAGTGTACAGCTATTTAAATTTTATTGATTTATTTTTATTTCACACATTAATTAATATACTGTAAATTAAATTTATATATAGGTATGTAAAGAAAGATGTTTGAATAGAGGTAAACAAGGAAGTGGTCGATCTGATGATAACGAGGAAAGTCTGATGAAAAGGTTGTTTATTTGAATTAAATAAAACTTTTATATTAGTTTAAATTAAATATATACATTTGTATATTGAAAAATTTTTTATTGATAGTTTTTAGGAGATTAAATTAAGCTAAGATCCTTTTGCTTATTTGCATAGGTTTTTATAAAACAGTTTTTTCAGGTATTTTTTATTAACTTAATTTTTGTTTTGTCTCACAGATTTCAATAATACTTTTTGTATGGCTAAGCCTTGGTATAACCCTTTATTGAGCAAAGGGAAGAGCATGCTTCTCAAATGTTTTATGGGAAAATGAAAGTTAAAAAATTCTGAATGACTTAAGAGTTTGCTTAGAAGCTTTTTGCACCTGACTGATAATTGTGAGACTGCTAGTATGCATTTCAATGAGTGAACTTTTTAAATCAATGTGATTTTTACATAAAATAATTATAAATTACATAAATTTATGCATTTTGTTTACTTATTTTCTATTAAAATGTACATTTTCTCTTTCTTGAACACTTGTTTTTGGAATTGCTATCTGTTAAAAATATATTTAGTTTTTTTACATTTTGGATTGTAATAATAATATAAATAATTTGGCATTTTAAGCAATTAAATAAATATTAGTTATAACTATATACTAATATCATATTGTTTATACCATAAGTTTATTGTATTTTTATAACTAATAAAACAAGCAGGCAGTAAAAATAAAGTAATAATTTAAGAATAATAAAATTATAAGCTATAAAATAATTAATTATTCAGTTCTTAAAACTAACATTAAATTTATTTTTAACAATTCTGGAGACAAATTTTCAGAAAATAGAAAATGCACATTTTTAATATAATTACATAATAGAAAATAAATAGACAAAATGTATAAACCCACATAATTTAAAATTATTTTATATAAAATTGCATTGACTTGAAAAAACTTCATTCATTGAGACTCAAATTAGCAATCTTACAACTATGAATACACTTGTGAATAAACTATGAAAACTTCATTCACATGTGTTAAACTATCCAGTTTTCAATGTCTTCAGAAAAACTTACTCATTAGTCCCTTGGAACTTTTTTAACTGTGAGGACCATGTTATGACCTCTCCTTGTTAAATTATTTATCTGTCTTATTGTGGTTTTTAAACAAACATGTATGCATTAATGCTATGGCAACACAATAGTGCACTATAATACACTCTTGCTTAGAATTATAAAATCAACCACAAAGTTTATGTTATTATTTTAATTACACATCAATTTGTAAATGAATACTACTATAGGTTAATATCATACCTTTTGCAAGATATTGTATGAACCTAAAGTAGTTAATAAAAATTTTTAAAGTGAAAACATGGCTTATATTTCAGAAAAAATTTAGAAATCATCATTAAGACAGCTGTTTTGAACCTGTGGTTTTGCTGGATAGTAATGTACAATCTTTTTCCGATTAAGGATCAATACTCAAGTTAGATCTGATAATGTATGATTTGGTTTTTGGATACTTTGAATTAGTGCATCATTCCTTAATTATTATATGCTTGACTATTCTCATTTGGATCAGTTTCTTCCTTTAAGACATCCAGGTTTAAATTGCAACCAACTATTGTTTATATTAGCAGTAATGATAAAAATCATTACTGCTAATATAAACAATAGTTGGTTGCATCAACAACATCAACAAATTTAAATTCTGTCATGTATTTAAAAATGCTAGAGGTTAAAGAAATAGATTTTTTTTATATATGTATATATAGTCATTTTATCATAATATTTAATTAATTTGTTGAATATTTATTATATTATGATTTATTTTTAAAAAATCATGAGAAATTTTTATTTAAAACTAACTATAAATTATTTTTAAAAATTGACAATTAGTAAAGACACTTATATATATATATATATATATATAAGACACATAATATGAATAATGATACAAATTTTATTTTTCAGGTTTAATACTTACAAGGTTGATACATTGCCAATTATTAACTTTTATGAGAAACAGAATTTAGTTAAGAAACTGGATGGGACTAAGCCAGCACAAAAAGTAAATAAATGTTTAAAAAATCTTTAATAGTATAGAATTGTTTAATTAAATAAAACATTTTAAATAATAGTTTTATACATACACATTTAAAATCAAGATTTAAAAAAGTTAAATTGAAACATGTTGTTATTTAAATTTATATACAGTTAAATCTCTAAATAATAGTTGTTGCCAGGAACATAAAAAATGGTCATTGTTTGGATTTTGTATGCATTTTATAAAAAACATTCCTGAAAAAATTATGCTATTTAGAAGTTGCCATTGTTAAAGTTTGACTGTGCTTATTTTATATTGTTAATTAATTCAATGAAATTAAATTAATTATGATTTAATTATACATTAGAGTAATAGACTTTGATGTGGTTAGTGCTAAAATTACTTGGTATATTAACTGCTATATTATTTTTATGTGACCAATGTGAAATTTCATAATGGAATCACGTAGATGGCCAGATTGCCATTAAGTTAAGGCATCAGTCTACTGCTCCAGGGACTTATGATTGAATTTGGTGAGTAATTTCAGGAGTTTTTCATGGGTAATTTGTCCTGATATGTTGAGCCCTAATCCCTCATCATCCAGTCACCCCATTTTGAACTTAGCCAAACCTATAATGGACATGGAAAGAAAGGATTTTTCGGAAATTCTCCCACGGGGGAGTACTATATTCTGTCTTTTTTTCAGTAAAAAATTCTATGTTTAGATGAGAATTCTGGTGACTTGCATGATAAAAACAAATGAAATAAACTATTGGCCACAATGCTGCAGCCCAAATGGAGCTGATGTAAAAAGCAAATGGCATTCTCACTTTTGTTGGAGATTATCTTTCACAAGCAGACAATACACACTGATAATTGTTGGGCTGCAATTTGAAAAAATTGTAGACCTATAAATTCCCTTGTTGTCCATCCATACATCTTTCCTTAATCTCGAGAATAGAGTTAGATAGATGAATTCCAAAACAAGATATGGATACCTTAGGGGCAGGAGGCCATGATTAACTATATATGAACTTCCAATGCAAACTGGAAGTCACATTATATCAATTCAAAAATTTTTTTCTAAAAAGTATTACATAGATGACTGACATGACTCTATTGCTAATGGAAAAGTATGATGTACAAGGACAAGATACTACAGTACTAAATTGAGGTGGAAAGCATATATTTTAAATTAAATAAATTAAAAATATGATTAAAAATTGTAGTCTGATTTTGTGGTGATGTCTTAATAAATAAATGCTTGTTTGCCCTTGCTATGTTCTTGAACACCATTTAGCAACTGAAACAACAAATAGGAAAGAAAGTGCAGATGGAGATATAAAAAAAATTAGAAAATACTATAAATGTGACAATGTAAATGTGTACATTTATAATGAAAAAATAAATCATCAGTAATATTAAGCACTGTTTTTAGTCATTGTTATATTTTTCCTATAACAAAATTTTTTTTTAGTCATCATAAATGCATATAGGCAGTAATGTTTTTTTTAGAAAAAGCTCAATGATTATTTATACATATATGTGATATATACACTTTTAGTCCTTGACACATCTTTAGTCATGATTACTTTTGTAATGAATTACCTCTGCAAAGACCAAACTTTTCATGAACAAAATGAACATATGCATTTTCTTTGAAATTAAACCTATCTAATATTCTGATATGACCACTCAGTCAAAGAAACTTATTGTGACCACTTTTAACATAATAATTTGAAAATTCCACATTGTATTGTAAGGTGCTAAAGATTGGTTCTCACTTCGACAGAATCTGTGGTGGTAAGCAATGAAGTTGTGACATATTTATTATTGTGACATCAGACTGGTAATGTGAATGAAAAAGAATATGTTTACAAGTTGAGCAGAACTTTTATTGTGATATAAAGCAGAAAAAGTAAATATTGACCATATATGGAAGCATTATTTACATTGATATTATTGAAAATCATATCCAATATAAATGGTTTTTGATGCAGTTAAGTGCAAAAATCTTTCAATTATATAATGCTAATTGAGTTAATAAGAGATAATAGTTATTTGGAAAAAACATTCTTCATAAAGATATAAACCTAAAAATGAAAATGATTGATGATCACATCAATAATGAAAACTGCAGATAGGCCTAATTTGTAGTTTCCTCTATGTATTTTTATATAAATGTTTGTAATACTTTTTGTGTATGGTTTGATTTTAATAAAATATCTATACTTTACTTTCATTATTTAGCTTTTTTCTAAAAGCAAACTTCTCTAAACTTTATAGAAGTTTGCAACCAGGGCTGGTTTTGAACTGTCAGCTGCCTGCATGCTATAGATATTTGGCCACCCCTATCAATGCTAATTGCAAGTAAATTCATAACCTAATCCAACCCATGAGTGCCTACTGATATGTTTTAGGACAGTTTCATATAGTTTGTAGGGGTAAAGAAATGTATAAAAATATTTGATATACAGTGGGTGATCGGTTAACAAACATAATCTGTTCTAAGACTTTGTTCACTATTCGAATTGTTCATTAACTGATAATCAATTTATCACAGGTTTTTATGGAAATTTGATTAATTCATTCTGGAGACTCCAAAAAATAAAAAATATATACTTTTTTACTACGTATATTTATATGTAATAATAAGAATACATATATACACAGTCTTGCATTTTTATTAGTCATGTTTTTTCCGTTTGTGAGGGTTAAAGAATCTGTCTAATGTCGATTGCTTTTCTCTCTTCTTCAAGATTTTTCAGAAGTAATTAATAGCATTGTAATTGTAGAGATCCCCAAGCCTATTAACCTCAACCTGGTTTGGATGCCATTTTAAGATCGTAGTTCTGACATCCTCTTACTTCTTCAAAAGATCTTTATTAGCAGATATCGGCATTAATTCTCTTTTTCAGAAGAAAGCATATCTCGCCTAGTTTCTTGGCGTTCTTCTGTCGTCAGATTCGTTTCAGATTCCATTATGAGCTCTTCAATGTTCTTTATTTCTCAGATGTGATTTTTGTTACTCCTTTAGCTGCTTGAGTCTTCTTGATTTTACTGTATCTTTCTTAGATAAGGTTGAACTGCAGCCTACTGTAGACCTGTTCAAGCCATACTGCCCAGCAATATCAGACATCTTCTGCCCACTCTCTACCTTTGCTATTATACTCTCACCTTTCGAAAATAAAAACCAATGCAAAACTTGATGAGTGCTTGCCCATCAGTCTCACGAATACTATAAAAAAATTTCTCAGTCAGAAAAATAAAAAGCTGGAATTACAAGGGAGAGTTTCAAAGTTCGGAGGAATATTATCCAATCAGTATATACCAGGTTGAGTGTTGATGTCAACATCTCCTGCGCTCCAAAAAGTTTTGAATTATTGTCTGAAGACAAGGGGAGACCAATCGGTATTCATTATTTTATATCATTTCTTCTTGTTTTTGTCTGTGAGGTGTTCGTTATCCGATTTGTTCGTAGTCTGAACTATTCATTAACTGATCACTCACTGTATATTTATTTTAATTTTATTCATATCAAGCTACCTCATAGATAACAGGTGCTTTTGTTCAAAGTTATATTTTAGCACTGCCATAAAATAAGAAAATAAAAAATAAAATAGAATTTTTTATTTGCAAATTTAAAATGAAATTAATTTAAAGAAATTTTTCTTATTTAGTATGTAAATACAATATACTCATGTGTGTATATAAAAATTGAATTAAATATGAACATTTAAATTAATAACATTTGTATGCATCCCTTTATTTAAATTTTATTTTGGTTTTATTTGGTTAAAATAATGGTTTAAGTATCACTTTAAGATTAATGGTGGGAGAATAAAAGCCCATTCACAATGAAAATTAAGCATAAACATAAAACCTTGTACCTATGTTATTTAATGCAATCATTCACAATGAATTATATAAGTGCAATATTAAACTTAATCATAAGACATTAACATAAATAAAGCTTGGAGTTTGCAAACTCCTAGTTTTTATGCTTTTTATGTGATTTAAAACAAGAAACAATTATAGTGGTTATGGAATTCTTACTGATGAATTTTTCTTTGTTTCAACAGATAAATTCCCCATCACCTGTTGCTTGCACTTTTAGGTTTTCTGATGCAAACACTTAACATGTATGCTTCAATGTTATTTACAGTGCTTTTTTTTTGGAAAAAAAAAAGGTGGTGGAATGCCCACTAGAGGGCATCCCGGGCTACTAGTGAAATATAAAACAGTTGAAATGACAGGCTGCGATTCCTGCATTGCCGCCAAATCATGACACGACCAAACATGAGCCGAGCAGTATGTCACAGTCACCACAAACTAAGTTTGCACTATGCATGCATCATACACAAGATTCGGCACACAAGCAGGAGCAGGACCATCTTAATAATTTTGTTGCTGATCTTCTATGCTCAACAGAGCGATTCAACGTGGACCAAACATCAAATTTTCAAAAATTTTCTTAAAACTTAAAATATATCAAAAAAATGTGATGGAACGCCATTCCATTGTGTTCTATGACAAAAAAAGCGCTGGTTATTTACATTCATAAACTGCACAGCTACACTAACTTTTTATTATCAGTCATCATGCAAACATTAGTCTGTTTCCTTGCCAACCATATATTAAAATAGTAATAAATTATATTTGAAATGTATTTTTTAATGTGCACTATTGGTCACTTGTGTGTATTCACACACTGCATACCTATCAGAACCAGTCCTGATAGCAACTCCCCCTTATAAAACCAAAATATCTTTAGAACTTTTATATTGATATTGAAATCATTCCCATAAGAAAATTTGTGCACACTATTGATATGCATTTGCAAATTATATCCCAAAAGATATACTAATACTAGTTCTGTAAATATCAAGAAAACACTAATTATATTGACTCTAATTTATCAAATTTATTACACAGATTTACATAGTGAAAACAATTGATATAATTTTATAGTTATTACTAATTTTTATCTAAACTAACTTTGCTGTAATGTGTCTATAAACTCA